GGGGGGGACGTGCACTTCGTAGCATTAGGGACGTCAGGCAAACTCACATGGAATTGGCCCCGACCAGCTGTTGAGAAGCTTGTAGACCGCAAGCCAACAGCAGAGCTTTCCTAGCCGAACGATCCGCCAAGAGTTGGCGAATTCCCTGCGCGCCATCCTTGCCGCCTGGGCTGCTCCTCCCAACAAGCGCCGCGATACCTTCTCCTCCTTCCACTCCCGTACGCCTCTCATCCTGCTCTTGCTCGGATGACGACGATGAAAGCTCAAAAGCTCTCAAATGCTCCTCGATCTGATCATCATTTGCTGAAGGGTACATGCGTGCCAAAGCTCTTCGAGCTTGAGCATGTTTGCCCTTGTGGAGCAACCAGCGCGGCGATTCGTCCAGGGCCCACAGACCTACGAGTTGAGCTAAAGCTGGCGGAGCTCCTGTAAGCACCATCCAGCGCCATGAGTGAGGCAGGTGATAGAAAGCAGCAGAGATGGCGTATGCCGTCACTTGTCCACCTGGAAGTTGTTGAAGATTGGGAAAGGGCAAGAAAGGGCAGAGGGTGGCGTGGGGAGAGGACAATGTGCGCTGTGAGCGTGAGGATGGCTTGGAGACGAGAGGAGGCGACACGAGACGCATCTCGGACTGACTCACCAGTGACGAGCGCACTATTGCTGCCTACTATTCTGCCTCGAAGATCGGATGGCGCGCACTCGGCAAGGTAGATGGGGATGACCATGCTAGCCATGCCCACTCCCAGCCCCACAAGCACGCGTCCCAGCACGAGTTCCCTGAACACTTGAGAGGCCGATTGTTCGATGGATCCCAAGAGGAAAAAGATGGAGGAGATCAACATGGCCTGCGTTGCGGGCAGCGCGCCAAGGACGTGTGGCGTTCGGGAAGGGCAGATGAAGAAGGCGGGATTGAGTCTGATGAGTCTTGTGCCGCGCGTTGCTCCCTCGCGATCCATCTCGCATACACCGAGTGGCATCTCGAGATCACGTCGCGCTCCACACTCCACACTCCCGCACTGCCAATCCCACGCCGCTCGACTGCAAAACGCACCTTTTTCCTTCCCCACCTCTCCGCCACATAAGTGGAAGCAGCGCTTCCGCCAATCGCACCAGCCGTGGTACCACCCACAAAGATTCCCTGTTGCGTGCTGCTCAATGCCTCTCCCCCCAAATCCGATTTGAGACTGACCAGCATGCCGGAAGCTATACCGGTGTCCAGTCCGAAGAGCAGCCCGCCCAACGTTGTTACTAGGATCAGACGGGAGAGGTAGGGTCGTGAGAAGGTGGTGGACATGCTGAGATGCAACGGCGTCGGCGTCGGCGTCGGCGCGTGCGTGTGGATGGGCGAGTGTCGTGGAGTTGAGGTGGGCCGGGTTGAACGTGGTGGGTAGCGCGACATGCAGTGCGTTTCGAGTACGCTGTTGAGCAGGAACGATGGGGCTTGCGGCTGTCACGATGATGGGCGTGCACTCGAAGCTGTGCTCCAATCGTCGTAGTGTGTTCGATCCTGCTGCGTATTCAAGGTGAATCTGAATCAGATGATCGACAACCTTGTATCCTCAAGGGGACCCCCTCTCCATCGTCACAATGCCGTCGATGCGCTACCGACAGACCTCAGCTTGTCGATGATGAGAATGATTAATGCGGAGCGCAGTCTTGCGGCACTCTTGATTGATAGGGCGTAGGATGAGAGTCCACTCGATCCTTCGCTCAGACCCGAGTCGAGGAAAAGTTGCGCAAGTCAAGACTTCAAGTGTCGAGTCGAGAGGCCCCCCCCCAAGAGTAGGAATTCAAAAGCTGATGAAGTTGATTGAATGTCAGCAGTTAGGTGTCAAGAGCCACAACAACCGCTTTTTGCTATGATGTCTGTTTGTTTTGTTGCTGCGAAATGGACGGCGAGGCGGTGCTCAAATGTGCTCACTCACGTGATCTTCGCAACAAATCACGTGAGCGGGACGCGCAAGTAGCGCAACCCTCCCTCCCACGGGCTGCATGCTCCTCCACACCCCGGCTTGAGCTCAGAATCACGAATCACGAATCACGAGACTACTCATTCACTATCTCGTGAATCTGACCTGACGCACACCCCTTTGACGTCATATCTGCTTGCTTGGGCTTTTCCTGCTGTGTGCGGTGGAGTGCAGTGCGGTGCGGTGCGGTGCGGTGCGGTGCGGTGCGGTGCGGTGCGGTGCAATGCGTGCTGCGGTGATTGTGCCGCATCTGCTTGGATTTGGACATGCATGCGGCTATGTAAAGGGTTACGTCGTGAATGGGCCGGCAGGCAGGGAGGGCATGCAGGTGGAGATCTCAGATGCAGTGTGAGTCTTGAGTGTGAGTCTCAAGTCGTGAATCGGTGCGTCAACCACCGGCAGGGTCCTGAGATTCGAGGACCCGGGGTGGGTGGGTAAAGAGGTTGACATGACAGTTGAGAGTTGAGGAGAACGGAGAGGAGGAGGCGCAAAGTCAAGATTCTTTTACGAGTGCGAAGGGAGAAAAGGGAAGCCATGATGGATGCGCGAATCGGTTACATACGTAGCATAGTCCGTCTTGCTTCAATCACGAACCACCACCGCAATCATCATCCAAGGTTAAAGAAGCGCATCGATTGGCCACTTGCCCCGTCACCCTTGCTCTACTCGCTCACCATTCTTCAGTGACCCCGTTGACCAAGGGGCGCATCGCTGCTCACCACGCACCACGCACCACGCACCACGCACCACGCACCACGCACCACGCCGCATCCGCACAAGCATCAAGCATGTTCTCAACTATTCGCACTCGAGCTGCTTCGCAAGCATCCAGTCGACGCACTGGCGCTCTCGCTCGCAGCTACGCAGCTCTACGCACATTCGGCACTTCACCCGCCAGGCTCGGAGGTCCGGGGGACGAAAAGCCGTTCGATTCCAATGCGTATCGAGGAGGTGGAGAGGCTGCGATGCCAGGAGCCGGATCTGTGAGTTGCGGGTTGCGGGTTGCGAGTTGGAAGCAGCCTATCCAGACTGAGAAACAGAAAAAAAAAAAAAGAAGAGTCAAAACGCGATCGCCCCACTGATCCTTCATTTCATTCGTGATTGTGGACCCCACCCTGCACCTGCACCTGCACCCCCACTCTGACCTTGACTTCCTTTGCATCTTTTGCGCCAACCCCCCCCCCCCCCCCCCCCCCCCCACGCACGCCACGGGACAGGTGGATCAGATTGCGGATTCGGAAGGAGCGTACGATTCTAAAAGGACGCGTCCTGATGAGTCAGCTAGCAAGATTCAGCGAGAGAAGCCGCAGACGGATATGAGCAAGACGGCCGCTTCTTCCCAGCCTAGCGATTTGGCTACCAAGAAGGGTAAAGCTACGCCTAGTGGAGAGAGCAGCTCTAGCGGTTGAGCACGAGCACGAGCATGAGCATGAGTAGAGACCACAAGCAGGAAGACAGCTGGCGTTGCGTGGTCCGAAAGCGCCTCGCACCTTTCCCCCCCCCAATGCTGCGTCCACATGCTCTTGTCACGAATGCACATACGCACCCAAGAGCCTCAAGTGTTCGTAATAGCACTCCTGACGAGAAGACCTTCATCCTGGCTTTCAACCAGCTAAAAGTATGCGCTTTCAACATCCAAACGACCTCGTGTGCATACGATGCGCACACCCATCATTGTCTTTAGCACCGATGCGATGTGAATGCTAGCTTGAATGTTAGGAGGTGCAACGCTCGCGCACCTGAAATTACATTTTCCCAGTTTCGATTCGAATCTCTGCTAAACGACCTTTGCTCGGGTTTGAGGCGACGCATCTTTGGTATCGTCGGTAGCGCTCCTGCCGCCGCTGCCACTAGCACCCCACCAAGCGGTCAAGCTGCTCGGCACAAGCGAATCTGTCCAACTCTTCGTCCCTGATGCACCCTCCTTATCCCTCCTCAACATCTCCTCCAGCTCCTTCTCCCTCTCTTTCAACAATGCATCCGTCCGGTCCAAAGCAGTAGTCGAGGTTTGCCCTTTCGCATCCGCGCGCCCCGACTCGGCGCTAGGACTGGGACTGGGACCGGAGTGGGTCTTGCGCAGGGAAAAAATACCGGCATATGGAGCGGGGGAAGAAGTTCCTAGCGCTCCATCCACTGGAACGTGCGAATTGGCAATGGGAGCTGCGTTCGTGCCTGCTTGTTCGACGTTCGAGCCGGAGCCTGAGGATGAAGCGGATGGGGACGAGCTGCTGGATGGTGCAGGCGCACCTCTTCGACCTCGAAGAGGCCTTGTGTGCGCATCCACAGGCGGCTGTAGACCTACCATGCGTCGGATCTGCAAAGATGTGGGGTAGGGAATTCGATGTAGAGGAGGAGCGAGCGCAGATGTTTTGTGAGCCAAGATCGTACTTTGCGCGGCTGTGAGATCCTCTGCCCGCGTGATCAGCACCTCGCGCGGATATGCTCAGAACCCCTAGCCCACCAAACCAACTCACCGGCATGAACACATGCTCATCCTCTCCAAAATCCGCAAACAGGGTCATGTAACCCGCCGCTCCCGTAGCAATTACATACGCAGCCAATGCGATACCGCGTTGTCTCCTGTTAGGAGCAGGTCCAAAGGGCAAGTCCGGACGATTGATTCTTCGGAAATATTTTTCGCGTTGAGCAAGCGGGGCGTGCTCCGAGGGAGCGGTGGGATGCATGAGGGATTGAGGAGCTGACCAGCTGAAAGACGTTGGTCGAAGCGCTTTGCGGGCGGATAGACGGCGCGAGGCCAGCGTGGATTTGGGCTCCGACGTCGAGCTGGAGCTGGAGATGGAATCGGAAGCGGAAGCTTCGGGAATGGATCCGCTTGCTGTCGGGGCCGGGGCCCAACCCTGCTCCGGCTCTTGCCTCCTCCCCTGGCTCGAAGTGGGCTGACGATCATCGTTGTTGCGCGACATGTCGATGTAGCCCGAGTGTATGCGCTACTTTTTGGTCGAGTTGGCCTGTGCCAGACAGGCAGAGCAAGAAGAAGCGTGCGCTCGCGTCGATCCACTGAGCCAGAGAGAGAAGGTGCCGAATCTTCCCGAATGTGGGTGGGGTAGCGTGTAGCTGTGATGATGCTTGGCTGACTGCCGACAAGTTCGTCGCAGATTCACATTCGCGATCGCAATTGTGCAATCACTCAGTGACTCTCGGTGTCTCGGATCGTGAGGCAATCCAACTCGTGAGCGCGAGTGTTTGGCTTGCTGCTGGCGGGTGATGTTGGTGGTGACTGCGAATTGCATCTTATATTCAAGATTCTTCTCTTTGATCAATCTGAATCACGAATTCATCAACCTGCTGAGAGCAGCCAACATGCTTCTCGGCCGACAGTCAAGAACGTGCGGCATGGCATGGCGCAGTCTCGATGTCACGAGTCGTGGAGGACTCAGGACTCGTGACTGCTGTGCATGTGCATGTGCATGCACCCACGCCGCCCCTCGCGGCAGCAGATCTATATATACGCGCACCACGCGCGATCGCGGATATCGTGACCTCCACAGCAGCTCAGCCGTCACAAAGCAGCCGGCACGCTCGATTCTGATTCAAATTGAACCGAATCGACACGCACTCCTGCTGACTCGCCCGCATCCACCGACACTCACACTCTTGACCAACGACTCCACTATCCATCCACGCATCTGCATACACCGCACCCACATTCTCGTCCACACCCGCCTTCGCCCTTGCCCTTGCTCGAATAGCAAGATCCCTGAACAGCTCGTCCAGTCACGCGCTCGCATTCGTCTGCATTCTCTCTCATTGTGACTCTATCTCTCCATTCCACGCCGAGCATACGCTCAAGCGCGCAGCTCAACCTCTACTCGACCTTCCACCTCTTCGTCCTGCCGCGCTCTCATCATGAACATCGTCGAGTCCCTCTTTGGGCGCAGCAAGACCCCAGCCGAGCGCTTACGAGCCCACCAGCGCGCTCTTCAAAAAGCGCAACGGGAGCTAGATCGTGAGCGGAGCAAGCTGGAAGTTCAAGAGAAGAAGCTGATAGCGGATATCAAGAAATCTGCAAAAGAGGGACAGATGAATGCGTGCAAGATCCAAGCAAAGGATCTGGTCAGGACTAGACGGAACGTGCAAAAGTTTTATCAGATGAGAACGCAGTTGCAGGCTGTCAGTCTGCGCATACAGACGCTCAGAAGCACGACGCAGATGGGAGAAGCTATGAAGGGCGCTACGAAGGTCAGTTAAAAGTGCGCTTCACGGCGCTGCTCCGTACACTGCTCACGCACTCATCCCGAACCCTGCAGGCAATGGGAACGATGAACCGAACGCTCAATTTGCCCGCTGTCAGCAAGATCATGAGGGATTTCGAACGGGAGAGCGAGGTGATGGATATGAAGGAGGAGATGATGGGCGAAGCAGTGGATGGAGCGATGGAGGATGACGAGGAACTGGGAGAGGATGAAGAGAGCGATAACATCCTGAAAGAGGTCCTGGACGAGATTGGCGTAGGATTGGGCCAACAGGTACGTCTACATCCTCACACACACACACACACACACACACACACACACACTGTCTCTCTCTCGCCTGACTCGTCTTGCGCGCAGGCAAAAGAGCATCCGAAAACTGATCGCGTCTTACTGTCTTTTCCTCTTGTGCAGCTCAAAGACGCTCCGACAGCATCGCTGAATGCGCCCACCACCGAACCTTCAGAACGCATCGCTATTGGCGAATCAGCAATCGGCGGGGGTAGCGGTGGCGGGGGAGGAGCAGGAGGGGCAGGCACTAAAGGATCAGCTGGACCTTTGAGCGGTGCCGGTGGTGGAGGTGCAGGAGCAGGAAAGAGCGACGAGGACGCATTACAAGCCAGGCTTGACTCTCTCAGGAAAGACTAGGCGATTCGTTGTATTGACGAGGATGCGCGAGGTGCCGAAGGGCGCCTTGACCCGTACGATTGCGAAACGATGGACTGTGTAGGACTTTATCTAAAGACCTGGCGCTTGCGAGACAAGCGCTGTGAGTGTGAGCCAAGAGGCTTTGCGGCTACATTGAGGCAATGCGTGAAGGGATAGGATGCAGCGTGCCCCCGTGCCAACATTCCGCTCTGACACATCAGCTTGCAATCGTGAATGCACCGCCGCACATCCATCGCGAAGCCGCATTGCTCCATCCAGCCCCTGCGTGCGCGTGATACCCTCAAGCTGTCTCGCTTCCCTTGACGATGCTGCCTCTCTCCTTCGATCTCCTCCTCGGCACACGTGCGTCTACTTCCGCCCGTACACCTACCTGCTGGGCCCTCGCATCCTTTTGATCTTACCCCCCTCCCACCCCATATCTTTACAGAGCTACAACAGTCAGAGGCTCCGAGTAAGTGCTTGACACGTTCTTGATTCTTGATTCAAAATCGCATTTCATCCCCACGAATACACCATTCATCAGTTTCACGTCAAGTCACGATGCGCATACAGTATTCACGATTTGTGATTTGTAATTGCGCGACAAGAAGCGCGAGGCGTGAGGCGGTGCATTAATTTTAATCCCTGCAATCAAGCTGAATCGGATTTCTGGAGCCAAACCAACAAATTTGGCCGGGGCCTCCCTCGCCTTTGGATCGGCGCGCGCGCGCGCGACTTGGGCGAGTCACGAGTGCTGAGGCGGGGCGTGTGCGCGTGTGCGCGTGTGCGTACGTGTATAGTTGCATTCACGTGATTCTTGATTGGGGGGTGCGTTTGACTCGACCACCTTCAGCAAGAGATCTCGCAAAGCAAGCGTCCCATTCAATCACACCAGCGCAGAGGTGCTCACACACACAGGGTGAATGGCTATGTCTTGGTACACTCACGCTCTTCCTCACTGCTCAAAACGTGAGCACTGAGCCACACCCCCCTCCAGCGCTTCTGTTCGTCCCACGCTTCCTCCCTCAACGCGCGGGACTGGACTAGACGAACATCGTCTGCCAATCGTCCATGCGTCCGACCTCCTGATAGACCACCGTGAGCTCCTCACTCTAATCATGGCTGTCGCACGCTCACCACACCTGCAAACACTACTCACGCCTCACATACTCTCTGCCCCCCACCTCTTGATTTAGCGATTTGCGAAAAAAAAAAAAAACATGTCGCGTGTGGAAAAGGGAGGGACGAGGTTTAAACCTCAGATCAGACCTAGAGCGGGTATCAGGTCAACTCAGCCTGGTCCATCTGCCCCTGCTTCTTCGCTGGAAAGCGCGCAGGCCGGCTCTTTAAGCGAATCGGTCGGCCCTCAGGCACAGCCTCAAGCACAAGCACAAGCAGAAGCACAAGCACAGGCCCAGCCGCAGTCCCAATCCCAGTCGAAGGAACCGCATTCCATCGGAGGTGCGCCAGGTGCGAGTCGGTATCTTTTTGCGGCTGAAGAAGGGGACGAGGAGGAAGATCGCTTGCCGACGACGGCTTCCAGTTCGAAGAGCCAGCTACCGCCAATCATAGCTTCCAAGTCTGGCCAGAACGTCTCTGCTTCTGCGACTAAAAGGGCATCGAAGGCCATCCTTACTCCTACTGCTCCTTCTCCCAGTCCGAGCCCACCTCCGCAAGCCCGTTCTGCTCTCGCTTCGGCTCAGAGCGGGCAGTCGCAAAGCAACGGCGGGACTGGTGCTCTACCGCCACAGCCTCCGGCAGCAGAGGCAGCGGCCATCGGCGAAAGTCGCGATGGAAGACATGGTCAGAGAGATGAGGAGGTAGGAGCCGCTCTCGACAAGAGCGGAGGCGCAAAAAGTAATGGGGATGACTTGTCGAGCAAAGATCGCGGCGCGGTGGGCTCCAGCGCTGGTGATGCTGCTTCCCGGCCCTCACTTAGCGCCACGTCACCTCCCTCGACTTCTGGAGCGAGCTCACCTAGCATCACGCGCGCGCCCATGCCTCCGCCTCCAGCTCCAGCTTCTCGAACCAGCAGCAACAATCAGAACAACGTTGCGCACACTCAGTCTTTTGTCAGAGCTCCGCGTACGATCGGCTTGATGCCCATCAAACCCTTGGTGAGCCGAGCTTCGAGTGCGAGTCTTCGAGCTCCCTCCCTCTCCCCCGCTCCTGGTCTGCGCGCAGATCGAAGCAGCGCAACGCCCGCGCCTTCTGCGGCGGCAAGTGCGAGGCTACGTGGTATGTCGGCCACCCCGATGCCTGAAAGTCTCAGCAGGAGGGAAAATGTGGCCCCACCAGAGATTTCCAGCGCAAGAAAAGCGAGAGAAGCTTCGGTGCTTTCGGAAGCTGGCATGAGAGGCGCGACGCCTGCGCGTGTGCAAGCACCGACCTCTCCCGTCGTTGCGAGAGGTGATGGTGCGGCGACAGTCGAACGTGGTGCTTTGTCTGACATTGAGCCTGCCCAAAGTGCAACATCAACCAAAGCCCGTGCGCCTTGGGAGGTGGCCAGTGTTGAGACGAGCGCTGGGGAACAAATTGAGGTGGGAAGCGCGCCGTGGGACGCGCTGGTCCGTGGCGAAGCGGCTACAGGCGTTCCGCAGAACGAGCAAGCTGCTCCGCCAAAGCGGCCAAGGGGCAGACCTAAGAAATCCACTGCAGCTGTCGATGCAGCTGCCAATGGAGACTCCGATAGACAAGCGGAGATCGGAAGCGAGGTACCTCAGAGGCGGCCAAGAGGTAGACCCAAGAAGCTCAACAGTGCTGCTGCCGCTTCTGTCGACACTGAGGTGGGGAGCAATGCTGGTCCGGCCAGTCAAGGCGAAGCGCCTGCCAAGCGCCCAAGAGGCAGACCCAGGAAAGCTGGCGCTGCTACTGCTGCCGTTTCTGCCCCACAGCATCAAGAACAAGAGACAAGTGCAGATGGATCGCGCAAGTCGAGATCTCGTGCGGAAATCGTCTCTCCTCTGCGCGGCGAGAGCACTTCGCAGGCGCACTTGGATGGCGATGCAGAGGAACAGGCCGAAGAAGCCTCGGATGATTCGGCAGAAGAGTACTTTCCTTCTGTTACGGCTCGTCGAGGACGAGGGCGAGGAGGCGGGCGCACAAGTGGAGGGGCAGATACTCGACAAAGCACGGAAGACGCTTCTGCTTCTGCGCATCCTGTCCCAGAGAGCGGGAAGAGCAAAAGACGCGCCAAGTTGAAGCTGCCCGACGATGCGCCCAAGAGGCCCGCGAATGCGTACATGCGCTTCAGCGCTCAGCAACGAGCTCTGCACTGGGCAGATCAGAATGGAGCTTCGTTCGGCGAGGTTGCGCAGAAGATTGCTGAGAGGTGGGCCGAAGTGTCTGCAGCCGAGAAGGGCGAGAGGGCTCAGAGGGCCAAGCAGGAGCTGGAGGCATGGAGGATCAACATGGCGCAGTGGAAGAGAGACAACCCTGAATGGGCGGAAAAGCTCGATGCGCGCAAACGCAAGAAGGGCACTTTGACGGATGGAGAGACTGCGGATGAGGGCGCCACGACCGATGCGAGTGCAGGTGCCACCGAGCGCAAAGCAACCAAGACTCCTCGCAAGCGATCTGTACGAAAGCCGACGCATGGCGAAGGGTCGGACAGTGAAGCTGGCTCGACAAAGCGTCGAAGAGGTGGAGGGAAACGAAAGGATGTCGGTATCAGCGATGACGAGTCTGCTTATGCGGCCGAACTGGCTGCGGTGGGCGGCAATGAGCGCTTGTTGGAAGTGAGCCAAGGCACGCGCATGGCCGAACTCTCCCAACCCGAAGTGAGGATGGGCAGAGCTGGAGCGAGGACGTTCGAACTGCGCAGAACGTACAGAAAGATGATCAAGGATAAGAAAAAGGAGCTGCCGGAAAGGAGAATGCTGGCTGCTAGAAAGGACAAGGGATCGTTGCGCGCAGAGGAGCTGGAAGAAGAAGAGCGCAGAAAGAGATCGTCGAAAAGCCTGCCGGCTGCCCGCAAAGAGGTGCAACAAGCACAGAATGAGGACGAGGTTGAAGAAGAGGAGGTGTTCGATGTGGATAGCGATGGGGAACCTATCGCGCCCTCTTCTCCTGCCGGGTCTGCTTCTCCCACTCCATCCGGCTTCTCCAACAACTCCTCTGCACACGCCCTGAAGAACAACAAGAACAGCGTGCAGGTCAGAATGTCGAACGGCAGATTGGTGCTAGATGAGAGCACCCTGCAGGTCGATAGAGCTGCAGAGTACGAGGGCGAGGATCGTATTGTCATTGAGGAGAACGAGAAGGATAAATTCATCAACTCGGCGAGCTTCAGCGATCGGAGAGGTCATCAGCGCTGGGACAAGGAGCAGACGCTTGCCTTCTACGCCGTAAGTATCTCATTCTCGACGCGCAGAGATTGTCCACTGTGCTGCTTCCTGATCGCATGCTGCTCGTTGGTTATTCTTTACAGGCTGTATCGCAATGGGGCACGGACTTTGAGATGATAGCCCGCATGTTTCCCTCCCGCACGCGCAAAGAGATCAAGCAAAAGTGGACGAGCGAAGAGAGACGCAATGCGCACATGATCGATGCGGCCTTTGCGCGCCGATTGCCAGTGGACCTGCAGAGCTATGGGGAGATTGCGGGCGTCGATCTGAGCGGACCTCCCCCTGTGATCAAAGCTCGGACGCCTCCACCCATCGACTTCAACGCTGTGAACTTGAAGAGCAAGAAGAAGGAGGGAGATGAGGAAGAGGTGGTGGGAGAGGATGAGGAAGCTCGCAGCGAGCGCGAACTTGGCCCAAATGGAGAAGAGATCGTCGAGGAAGGAGAAGATCCGATCGATGCCAAGTTTGCTCTTTCGCAAGAACGAAGCAAGAGGAATACCGGCGCTACTCCTTCTGTTGGTGCTGCTACGCAATCTGGAGCAGAGAGCAGCGCAGCTGGGTCGGACGTCGAGGCTGTCACCGAGGGTGAAGATGGCGAAGACCTACCCGAAAGCACTGCATTGCTCAAGCGCAAGAGAGCTGCTAGCAATGCGAGCGAAGGCTCGGCCTCGGCGTCTGTGCCGACGATCAGTAGACCTAGAGCGGGCAGCACGACCAGCGCCACTTCCGCGCAAACAAGAAGAAGGGCAGGCTCTTCTAGCGCTCCTGCTGCCTCGACGTCCGGCGCAGCCACTGCGGCTGGGGCCAAACAGAGAAAGACGGAGGCGGAAAAGAAACGCGCTCAGCGCGATAGCAGACAGGAACGTGAGAAGAGGCACAGAAGAAATGTGCCGGATGCGGGAGAGGAAGAGGTGGTCGGCGTTATCGAGCCTCCAACTCGTCGACAGAATCCTCGACGCGGTTGATGTGTTCCTCGACAGCTTCGTGTGGAGCACATTTGCAAGCCCACATATTATCTCAAGATATGTACATTAGCTCAGGTACAAGAATCGATGTATCATTTTAAAGAGACATCTGATGAGGGCCGCGCGAGGGTCCTCAAGGGCTGAGCGAGTGGGATTCGGTCTTGGCGTGCAAAGAGGATTCCACGTCGGACTTTTGCTCGATGGGTTCGGGAGCGTCAAAGTGTCTTGTAGAGAGCAACAAGGCGCAAGCGATCCACTCTGTCATTGTAGCTGCGAGGTACTCGACGAGGACAAAGTGGGAAGAGAGACCGTTCTTGTCGTAGATTGCCGGATTGTAGTAGATGAGGCTGTCATCGACTGCTTGAGCGATGCCAAAGGCGCCTCTGGCTGCCAAAAAGGGCCAAGCGACGACGAGAGGCACGAGGGTGAGGTGCCATTTGCCCATGCTGTTCTTGTACCTGATCGCGCAGGATGCCAAACTAGCTGCGAGTCCAATGTTGATAAGCAAAAAGATGCTCTGTCCCACTGCACGAAGAACCTTGCAGGTCTGCAGGTTGGAATTGCTGCTCCAATTCGCTTCGGCCCCTGCGATGCCCGAAGAGGTGGACAAGTCGGAGTTGCCGCTCGTCAGGAGCGATCCACCGGTGATGATCATTGCGTTTGCGCCGATCAAGAGCCAATGGATCCACGGCATGACGCCTCCTTCTCCGCCCAACAAGCGTTTCCACAATGCGCGCTTCTCTCCTCCGCGAGCTTTGCGTGCTTTGGAGATTTCCTCTTCGGAAGGCGCGAGCCAGGAGGTGCCGAATGCGTGATGTTCGAACCAGACCAGTTGACGAGCCATGAAGAGCACTAGGGAGAAGTAGCCTTCCACTGCAAGCACCAGATAGACGACCAGCAATTGCCATTCCTTCCACACCAGCACTCCAAAGGCTATGGCTACGGCTTGAGAAGCCAATCGAACGAGGACGTGAAAGAAGAGAATGAACCAACGCGATCCGATACCTTCTTTGACCGGTCGGCTGATGACCAGCTGCAAGATGGAGACGAACAGGATGGCGTACAACGCCAAGAAGACGGTGCCTGCAATCGCCAGAGGTCCGAACATGATTGCGCGCGCGGGCGGGCGGGCGGGCGGGCGTGACGGAGATGTTCGTCAGGCTTGGGGCAAGGGTGCGCGGGACGTGTGGTGTGTGTTCTCAATCGCTTCGGTAAGGATGTGATCTGAGTGCGAGTGCGAGTGCGAGTGCGAGTGCGAGTGCGTTTGCTCAAGGCGGCAGAGAAGATCGATGATTGTGCGGCAATGCGTTCAATCGATTCACCACCTCGACAGCCGTGCTTCTTATACGCCATCGAGCAGGGCCCAACGCCACGCCCATTCACGCTCCTGGTCGCAAATCATGGGGAACAGCCTGCAGCGCAGCGCTGCGCAGACAATCAGGAAAGAGAGTCAGTCGCACTACACAATGTCCAAATCGAATAGCGCACAGTCATCAGCGGGGATGGGTCGCTAACGAGCGTCGACCTATGCTGAGAAGCGCCAGCAGCAGCATCCGCTACAACTGCTGCGTTTGGACAAAGATCACTCACTCACTTGTGGCTGTGGCGCATGGACCACACGCTACGCCTAGCGTTTGTTTCTATGTGCCTAGCTCGCATATATGCACTCGACTCATGTTGTCCCATTCCCTCGCACGTATGCACTACTCGTGACTACTATAGCCACGCGCGACTCGGACTGCACCATCGCGATCGCTACGAAAGACGACTCTCTATACACGAAGCATCGGCTGCTTGGCTGCCCATGCTGCTGCCCCATCGGCGAAAATTCGTTGATCGAGGCCAGCACACTTCATCTGCACCGATGGACCCGTACCTTGCACCACTCGACTCGTATCAAGACTCCATCACGCCTCACGCCTCGCGAAACTGTACGCGCGCCCATCCGCATCGGCATCGGCATCGGCATCGGCATCGGCACCGCGCGCGCGCGCAAAACTCAGCTTCTCGCCGCGGCAGCAGAGCTGCATGGACTCGCGTGACTGCATGCAGCATGGCGCGGGGGCGCCTGCATAAACATCTCGGATCCTGTGTATTTTTATGCCGGCATGCGAAGGAAGTACGCGCGCGCGCGCCGGGAGATTGCGAATGGTTGCTGCCCCCCGCGGTCGCGATGAATGCCGACCTCCGACGGCATTTATTCGAGTCGAGTCGAGTCGAGAACGCGTCCGTCGCTCGCTCGCTCGGCCGAAGGCGGGGAAGGACGTCATGCGATGCGGGATGTCCATCTTGTCGTATCACAAATGAATCACGAAATAACGATCACGGAATGATTAGCGTCGCCACTCTGATTGAAAGTCGTATATATGCCTGCGTCGATGCATATATGCCCGCTCAGCGCGGGTAAAGTCACGACGAGTATAGCAGACTAGTCACGAGTCACGAGTCACGAGTGTAGTGATAGCGAATCGCGATTGCACCGCACCCCTTCCCATGCAAATCGGTGACTGCAGCTCGAATCACGAGTTTGAGTGGTATAGGTATGATTGTGGACTTGACTGACCACACCACATGTGATGAACGCAATGAGCGCGCTTTCTTGTTCGCTTGGGCAGCATGCAGGTCTCAGTGCCAAGATACGAGCTCCTCGAGGTCTTGACGAGCTTGTTTTCCAGTCAACTTGCGCACGCGTTCCAAGTCCGCATAGCCCATCGCTACACCGCACACCACCGACTCCCTCTCCTTCAAAGGTAGCATCTCCGAATAGATGGTGTTGTATGTAGCATGTGCTTCCTGATGGGGGGACAGAACACGGCAAGACCATGAAAGCACGAATCAGCGGTCGACCAATTCTTACGCAAATTACGGGAGCGCGAAACAGAGGTGAAGACAAAGGCAAACAAACGTACCTGTACACAAGCTTCTAGACCCCGAGCTCTAGCGGCCATTAGCAGACTCATGACAAAGAAGCCGCAATCCAAGTAAGCTCCCGTCGGACTGATGTCGGCCGTGGTGATGATCAAAGCGATGGGCGCGTCGAAAAAGTTCCAATTCCTCTCCGTCGTCGCTCTCCTCTTCTCCTTGTCCTCTCGCGCTATTCCCAAAGGACCTGAAAACGTCGCGCCAAATTGTCGACGACGCGAAGCGAGATCGCTGTAGGCGCTTTGGGATAGGAGCTCGTTGGGGGGATAAAAGACGTAAGGGGCTGATAGAGAAGCGTAGCGAGATGCGAATGATTGCGTTCAAATCAGTCAATCATTACAGTCACGCATCCGATCCTTTTGGGGGGCAGGCAAACCAAAACGCGGGGGCTGGGGATGTGCGTGCTAGGCCCTCACCAGAGAAATCTTCATTGTCCCTGTACGCCCCAGTGATTCGCTCGGCGATCTTCGATCTGACTTGGCCCTCTCCAATTACGTGCACCTTCCAAGGTTGGAAATTGCTTCCGCTCGGTGCTCTGGTCGCCGAGAGAAAGATTTCCTTCAAGGTCTCTTTGCTGACGGGATGAGTAGAGGAAGGATGAAAGTACCTGCACGAGTAACGCGTGCGAAGGAGAGCGTCGGTAGGTGTGGGTCCGGCTGGGATGTGCGCGTGATCGTCGGCGGGCGGATGGTCCGACGAGTGATCTGACAAATCGTAGAATTGCGAGTGATACTCTTGGGTGGGCATCTTGACCGCGTTGTACCACCACACCGCTTGCGGACGTTGCTCCGAGTCACAATGTTGTCGTCGTGGATGAAGGTTCAGGTCGTCGGTCGCACAGATGCAATACGCAGCGCTTATATACGATTACGAGTCCCCCAGAGCAGCCCACATATGCACCGTCATCAGCATTCACATTCTCAATTCGGATTGGCACATTTCATGATAAGGCCCAAAATTCGATGGGAAAGCGATGATAGTAGTAGGAAGATACGGCCGACGACTTCCGGGCCTGTAGCGTCCCTGACCAACGAGCAGATCGGCAAGGCTTTTTTTAGCGTCTCCCGTCTCGACGCGCAAGGCGCTAAGACTTGGCATTCATTGCACCTGCCGCTGCTGTTGTTGTTGCTGTAGACCCAGCAGAGCATAGAGCCATCTTCAGGCTATGCGCGCGGAGGCCCCGATACGGCCTTGAGCGAGATGCAAGTCCGATCGGACATCAAATATATCGAGCCCGCATTTACGTTTACCTTGAACCAGCCAATGTCAGAAAGCTCGCAGACCCACACGCACTCGTTTGACTGATCCGTTTCAGTTAAACTTGAAGTCCTGCACGAGGTTCGTGATTCGTGACTGCTGGTGGTGTCGCTGCACAACAGTCGTGAGCGTGAAGTCATCTTTCAGCTCGTCGGTCAAGGCATTCGATTCGCAGTCAGGAGGGCTCGCATCGCGTCATCAGCTTTCATGCGCGGAGCAACCGCAGGACATTTGAGTGCCAATCAGAATCGAAGGAAGCGAGCGCACCCGCGTCCGTCGCTTTGTATTCATTCACCCCATCAAAAAGTCTTTCCCGCGAGCAGCACAGCAACCCCTGCCCGGATGCTCCAGGAGGCCTGTATACTCGAGATACAGACCTGTGTCGACTCGCATCCCCACTGACAGGGTCCTGATTTGCTACACTGCCTGAAATCATCTATGGCGCCACAAGAACAATCATGGAAGCATCGCCCCCGTGAATAGGATTGAACGTGGGCTAAATCATATAGTGCGCCTGCTTATTGCACTTTCGTCAAGACATCGTGTGACATTCGAGCACCCCCCAAAGGCGCCTAATACTGGCAGGTAACGCCGAGCACGTGCGGGCGTCACAAAGAGCAGAGAAGATGTGCGAAGCGTGGCTGCATGAATGACATGCTTGTGCGGGTGAGAGTGAACCTGCCAAAGAAAAGCGCGTGACGCGGAAGGAAGCTTTTGCAATACATCATCGATCGGAATCGCTGGCGGGGCTCACACTTTGGGGGGCAGAGCCTACGACAGAGACGTCGATGTTGTGGAAGATGGGTTGCATACACATGCACGCTCGCATGCGTCTCCAATGTCCGAGGTGATCAAACAACCGTCAATCCCAACGAGCCGCTCTCCAGACTTGGCTGCGCCAGCGTGTCAGAAGCAGAAGGCGTTTCGCCCTCTGGATGCGTGGAGTCATTGTTGTTAGAATGCTGTCGCGCTCGACGACTCGCAAGCGTAGTAGAGCCAGAAGAGATGGAAGATGGATATGGCGGGTCTGTTGGCGCATGGAATGATGCTGCCCAAGAGTCAGAAGGAGCGGCAAAAGGTGGCGGAGCAGTGGTCAATTCGCTCGAAGTGCTGCCTCTTCTTTCTTCGTCGTTCTCTTGCATTCCTCCCGTTGCCCATCTATACCCTTCCCTCTCCATCCCGCCCTCGTCCGCAGAGGGCGAAGGGGAGGGGGAAGATTCAGCAGGAGATCTGAGGGATGACAGGTATTCCTCTTCCGTGACGTATTGAGCTAGACCCAAAGGTGCGTTGATATTGGACCGCTGAAGTCTGAGGGGGGTAGCAGGGCCCACCCTAGTCGCATGAGCAGGCGTAGGCATGGTCCTAGAAAAGTGAGTGGTGTTCCATTCGGAAGGGACAGCCATGGAAGTATCGTCCACCGTCTCGTCGTTAGCTTGCGTAGAATGCAGGGTCGAGGCTTGATTTGCAGGCGTGGCTCTCGTACCATGCTTGATCGCGCTCTGCGGTAACCAGCCCATCCTGTTGGTATTGCCTCTGGTCCCATTGGAATGCGCCAAACTGAAGGCCGAAGCTGCCGTCGCAGACCCTTTCTGGTTGGGTCCCTTGCCCGTCTCCCTGTCAGCGTCCGTGCTCGAGCCGGCTCGCAACGCCTTGACCAGCGCGTCCGTGCACGCTTGCGCCTCGTCGTTGGAAAGCACACTAGCTAGCACCGTCGTCATCTGCAGCAATCTGGGCGAGATGGTATTCCTTACGGATTGTTGACCCGTCGAGTCGTAGCCCAACTCCGAAGCGACCGAATAGGCCGCATTTCCACCGCCAAAACCAGCCTTGGAGCCGGCCAGTGCTTCTCCCTCGTATTCACGTATATTGTGGAAGAGCAACACCAGACGCTCGTAGATGGGCAGGATCACGCAATCCCTAAACCCGATCAGACAAATCCTCCTCACATCTATCTTTTGCGTGCTCCTTCCAGAAGCCGCGAAGGCCGTGCCGACCGCTGATGTCGGTTTGTTGGAAATGGACATAGCTGTATTGATGCTCTGATTCGTCGAATGTGAATGATTCGACTGAGAAGGCGCATGTCTAGATGGATTTGGCTGAGATGGCGCGCCGCTGGTCTGGTCAGGGTCCGATGACTTTGTAAGACTGAGCAGGACGGGGTCTGTCTGCAGCGGCAAAAAGACACCTTCTAGGTAAGGCAGTACGCTGCCAAAGAAGAACATCCACAGCTCTACCAATCGTTTCAAAAATCTCTGGTCATCCTCTAGCACGCCCGAAGCTTGCAGCTTCGCATTGAGCGTAAAACAAGCCGTGCTCATCAGGTTGCAAAGGTCCGAAGAGAGCGAGTCCAAAGCTCTAGCTGGCGATTTGTCCAACGTTTGCATGATGTGCAGCATGACGTTCTGGTTCAGATCTTCAATGGGCGCCTTCAACCCTTCGCCGTTGAACAGAGGCAAGACTCGTATGCAAACGTTTTGCCAAATGTCCGACACGGGCGTTGGGCCTGCCATGCCTGAAGGACCGGACGCTTGCGCTGAAGGCGCATATGGTCCAGCTGCATTGTTCGAACCCCCTTCAGTGCCGAATTGCAATTGTGCCGCAGCAGCGGGAGAGGGCGAATATTGCGCATTAGCATTGGCTACACCTGCTGTCGCAGAGGCGGAAAGGGAGCCTTCTCGAACATGTTGAGGAGATTGTGAAGCTGAAGAGGAGGGTCCCTGCTGCTGGTGCTGCGCAGCATTGCTAGCAGGTCCTTGAGACTGTTGCCATTGCAGCTCGCCGCCGTCCGCAATTCCATTACCGCTCAGCATAGCGGATGCGTTTCCAGCCCTTTCCAATTCCTTCAACATGAAACTTGCATCGTAATTGCCCACGCTTTTGGCCGACTGTCCAGCATTGTTGTTCAGGCTGTTGCTGCTGTTGCTAGGCGCTGCTGATGATACCAGAGGCAGTCTGGAAAAAACAGCGTTGACGCTAGAAGGGGGATGAGGGGGAGACGCACCATCGCCCATCGTGCTGGCGGGAGTCTGCGTCAGACCCAATGCTCCGCTCAACTCATCCATGGCAGGCGTTGTATGAGGCATGACCGATCCTGTCGGCCCGCTAGCCAGACCAGACGTCGATCTGGAAGCCGTTACTTGCAGACTTTTCAAATGCTGAACATTGTTCTGCTCCACGATCCTCACGTATGTAGGTCTTCCTTGCGATGTGCCTGTCGGTAGGATGGAACCCGAAGGACTTGTCCTCACTTGGCCATTCAAATCGATGTGCGACTCCTCCAGACTATGGGAGCGTAGTCTGCCTGGTGACGTTTCCAGAGCAGGATCTGCCCCGCCGCCAAGCATCGGCACGGCCAGCTCAATGGTTGTAAAGCCCGTATTCTCCAGCCTGACGCGAGTGTAGCTTAGACGGGGATCAGGCCAGGGCGATCGACTTGTCAGACTGGAATCGTGCAAGGACATAAAGTACCGCAGGAGCTGTACAAAGAGGGCCACAAAGCGGAGTCAGCATCTCGCATGTTCATGCTGCCTGTATGCATGCGCTGCACCCGACCTCTCGACTGGACATGGCACCCGCATACATGCGCACTATAAGCCATTCACTCACCTCTGCAATGGTAATGCCGTGCGCCACGACGACAATGTGGCCACCTTCGACGCCAACGCCAGGTCTCGCAACGCCCGCGCTCGTAGCCATGGCCCCCCGTCCATCTGCTGCACTGGGCGCATTCCTCAAGCTCTCTACCCTCGGTATGATGTACCTCCTAGCCGCGCTCCTCATTCTAGCACCCACATCCTCAAAGCTCTCTCCACCACCCTCAAACTTTTGATCCCTATCATCGTTCGCAGTAGGAGGTTTCCAATCCGTCTCCTTCCAGCTTTTCCCCTCCATCACCCCAAAGTATTGCTCCCTCAAAGCTCTGGTATGAACCAGTGTGGGCGGAGGAACGGTGTGATTGGAAGCTACTAGAATTTCAGCAGTCTCGCGCGCTCGTTTGAGGTCGGAAGAGTAGACGGCCAGCAGTTCGGACCATTGGAAAGCTTTGCCTAGCAGACGAGCTTGCGATCGACCGAGAGAGGTCAAGGGCGCATCCCGATGACCTGCCAAGTAGCCATTCGCATTATCCTCCGATTGCGCATGACGCACCAGCGTGATGGTCAGCGTGGACAACTGCATCTTGACCCAGGCATCGAACCCCCCCGCCGCTGTCCAGAGTGTTGGGGTGTGGTCTGAGTAGCGAATGCTTTGGAGCGCCGTAGAGATGGCTGTACGATGCGCCAAGACCAAGTCGCACTAGTGACCGGCGCGAGTCATGTCCCTCGCCCCTTGTTGCCTGTTGCAGAGCACCCGTCAGCAGAGGTCATGCAGGTCGCAACACTTTGAGCCGTGCTGAACTGCACAGAGAAGCCGTTTGTCGCTAGCCATCCACAGGTTCGGTTGAGCGTGCTTGGGTCAATGTCTGCTCTTGACTGCGACTGCGACTGCGATTGCGACTGCTGCCGGAAGTATTGACGGCGGAGGAAAGAGGAGAGGAGCGTTTGAGGGATCAAATGTGAGCCACGAAGGCGAGGTGGAAGCTGTGTTGCGTGTGACCAGCGGCTTGCTGATGCTGATGTGAGCAGGTGCTGCTTGCTGCATGTGGACAAGTTACCGCGTGCTGTGCAAACCAAGCAAGCAGCTATGCACGAGCATATAATAAGTCTGATCGCGTCATCCGCGCGCGCGCAGCAGCAGCGACACGATCGATGCGCCCGCCAATGCAATAGCGCGCTCCGGCAGAGCGGATCTCCGCGGACTTTGAGCTAGCGGGTCGGAATTGCTGTAGCTGCGTGCATGCATGCATGGCGCTCGATCGAAGACGGACGGCAGGCACTCACCACTCGCGACGAGGCATACATTCACATTCCCCCCTCCCACTCTCACTCTCACTCACACCGAGCTTCAGCTTCAATCACACCGCCTGCATCTTTCCGTCGCTTTCCTTCAACTCGACTTGAATCGACGCTTGCGCAGCGCGAACAAAGATCGCATCTCCAAAGTCCAGTGCGCAAGATGTACTCCCTCTTGACGGGTCTGTATCGAGACTACAGCAGCGTCCAGACGCGTTGCGTCTTGCTTCTAGGTCCATCTCAATCCGGCAAGACTGTGCTATTGACGCGTATCAAGGCCTACTCGCAAGCTGAACGAGCGGGAAGCGTGAAAGGAGAGCATAGGAAGAGGCTGGAAGAAGAGGACGTGTATGAGCGATTAAAGAGGGATGATGAGCTCAACAGCGGTGTCAAGGTCAGAGGCATCGCACCCACCGTGGGTCAGAACGGTGAGTAGCGCCAGTCTCGCACGCAGACTGTGTGTGCACGCTCGACTGCTCATCGATCCATCCATCTCTCCTCGCCCCGTCCTCACCTGTCGTAGTGCACACCTTTCAACCGGCCTCTTCGCGCATACAATTGCGTTTCTGGGATCTAGGCGGCTCCAAAGCTCTTCGAGCCATTTGGCCACGCTACTTCAAAGAGACGCACGTGATCGTATGGAATGTGGACATTGCGTATTGGATAGACTCCAGCGATGCGGGCGAGGTGTTTGGCGAGTCGCAGTCGAGGCTAGAGGAGGCAGAGCCAAGTGCGGAGAAGGTTCGGAAGGTGCAGGAGAAGGAGCAGGAGCGAGAAAGGGAAGATGAAGAGAAGGAAGAGGGAAAAAGAGACGCAAAGCAGGCTCTCGGTAAGTCTCCGCCTTGCGCTTGGATTGCACTGCACTGAGCTGCGCTGCACGCATCTCTTGCGCTTCTCAGCTGACCCTTTTCATTTGGTACGTGCGCCTCACACGCACGTTGCTGCAGAACCAATCTTGCGCGACGTATCCCTGCGATCCGTCCCTCTGGTGCTCTACATCACGGACCTCGGTCTCTTTCGTCGTCTCTCCTTAGCTGTTCTCGAAGCTCTACAAGATTCCTCAGCCCCATCCTCCTCCTCCAGCAACACGCCGCTCAAACAGCAAGCGGCACTGTCCAGAGTGGAAAGGTTGGCAGAGGATGCGTTAGGTAGATGCAAGGATGATCTGGTCAGCTGGATCGTTGCGCTGGATAAAGAGATCAAGGTTCTTTGCGGATGGAAAGAAGGGTGAGCTGCATTTCAACTGCTCCTTTCTTGGCTCCGTCTCTCCTCGACACTCTTTCGATGCGCTCATGCTCTTTGACGACCCCACTTTTGCCCCCCCCTCCCCGCGCCCCTATCGCGCAGAGCGGCAATCGAAGATCTCATCCATTGGCTCGTTGCCCATCCCAGCGAGCCCTGAAGCATACATGAAGAGCTCTCCACACGCCTCGAATCCCCAAAGAGGCGAGCGCGCGGCGCAACGCAGCGCCATGTAGAGTCGCTCGCTCGCTCACTCGCGGCCAGGCGTGTCCATCCTGCAGAAATCGACTGCAGCCTTAGCCCTGCTCCAGTGCACACCGCATTCGCAAGCGCGAGCAATTAAGCGCAAGCACAGCGCCTCTCTCTCACCTCGATCACAGAAACGCCTCAGAAACGCCATCGTCTGGGCGCCAAATGTTGGAAGAACTCGCATCACGAATTCGTCAAGGCCCGAGCAACTCGACAAAAAGTGGCCCGGGGGGGGCGATGCTTGGCTTCTGTTCCATGTGCACAAGCTGACGCACGCAGGTTGCACGAGCCCCCTGGCTCACTTGTTGGCGTCCTGCCCGCGCTTGCTCGACAAGAAGGCATAGGCAGTCTTGAGTGTGGCATGCAGACCGCCGACCTTGCAGCGCAGCGCAGCGAGAGCGCTACCCCGCGCAACTCCTCCATGCACGAGTCGTGTGCTCGTCAGCCGGATCAAGATGGGGTCAATCACTTCCAGACAATATCTCCACGCGCACGCACATCCACCCACATTCACGCTCAAATTTCTTTTGGTTTCATTTTTTTTTTGGGGGGGAGGACATGGAACAATGACTGGCGAGAGGAACAGCACATTGCTTGGATCGGAGAGCGCGAAACGAGTCGAGGGAAAAGAATCGATGAGACGAGGCGGGGCGAGGCGGGGCGAGGCGAGCCTCTGCAATACATGCTCAAGCATTCAAGTCAGACGAATGCCATGACAAGAATGATGCTTTCGATGCGCTGAGCAATGTGCATGCGATAAAGCCCTCCGCTCAATCAGCCATCATGGACGATGGACTGAGCATCGAACCACAGTGCGTACACCGATTCCTCTACCGGTCGAGTCTTGTCCATCGCGCGGCTCTTGGGATAGTTGAGCAGACTGCTCCTCGAAGAGCTCGCGAGCATCTGGCCGCTCGGGTAGACTTGCAGCAGATCCTTCCGTGGCGAGGTTGGTGCGACGCTGCGTGCCGCGTCGAGCGCAGAGACGCTCGCATCGACCGTTGCAGAAGCGTTCGAAGAGGATGCGCCGGCTCGGAGCGGTACAGCGGGCACACTTCCAGTCTCGAGCTTCTGCAATGCTGCCTCTTCCTCATCGGCAGCACGCATCGACTCGAAGACGCGACGAGTTGCTTGGGAAGGCGTGCCAATGCTTCCCCTCGCGCCGCCCTGATCGGCGGCGTAGCGATTCGCGCGCATCTTCGCAAGTCACTCGTCCGAATCCGTCATGAACTCATCCTCGTCATCTTCGAACACGGCCATATCCTCAAAGGCCACCTTGTAGCGGAGCAGACCTCCAACGCCTCCAAAACCCTTGCAGAACTGCAGACCCTCTTGAGATCGGTCCGTGACAAACTCCAAGTTGGTTCCGAATTGCGTGTAGTTTTCTGCGAGCCACTCCAGCACGCTGAAAAGGGTGCCGAGAAGAATGACCTTGGTCAGCGTGTGCACCCTTCTGCATACAGCGCATTGCCGTATTTTGATGTTCGGACACAGTTCCACTCACGGTTGAGGTTCCTCGGCCTGCTCCATCTCCTGACCAGTCATGCGGTCCTGGAACTTGGTCTTGTCCTCGGCCTGTTCCTTCGTCAGCATCAGAATGTGCTGAGCGCCCTCCGAGTCGCGCAAGGTGTACCTCATCGTGTCCAAGTTTTCCCAAAGGATGAGCTGCTCGACAGCGCCCAACTCGAGCGCCTTGAAGGTGTCCTCGATGCCGAAGCAGTACTTTCCAGTCTCTAGAGCAATCTCCTCAAAGTACTTGGTCAGCAGCTTCTTCTCGTGAATGAAGCGGACGGAGGCGAGGGACTCGGCCGAGAGCTCGATGGCCTGGTTGAAACCATTTTCGCCGCCGTACGAAACGTCGACGGTGCGGATGATCTTGGCTGCCAGTCTGGGGTCAAACAAGTCGGACTGCCCAAGCTCGTTTTTGAACTCGGCGCTACCAGCCAAGACCAATCCCGCACAGTTGCACTTGTTGTCCGTGATAAAGTGCTGCGTAGCAGCTTCTGCGACCTTTCGCACGTAATTGTGCCTCGCTTCGTCACGAAGACGCGAGAAACGCAGCGCGGACTGACCTCCACGTCTGTGCTTCTTGGGCAGATCCACCGAAAACTTGTGAATGACGTTGCGGGTGTTGCCGCTGAGCGTTCCGAACAGACTTCCGTTTCCGTCCATGATGATGAAACCGTACTTGGCATCGCTCTCCAACAACTCGGAAAGCGCCTCGGTGTGGAATTTGTTGTCGCAGAGGTACAACGAGGTGTTGATAGCTATGCAGCGAGCGCGTTCGGGCACAAAGTGAGATCTATGCTTCATCAACACTTGCTGGGATCGTTCAACTCACGCTTGAATGGCTCAAAGCTAAAGTTGACCTTCTTTTCTTTGCCTTCGTCAGTCAAGATGGTGCCGCAGTAGATGACAAGTCCATTTGGAGGCACTGCATGCGGCAAGACGAGACGGCAGCAGGTCCACAGTGTCAGCGAAAATGTCTGGCAGCGCGCACGTGCTCTGCAGCACCTCAGCTCACCCCTGTTGTACAGCTTCAACCTCTGCTGCGTAGAGGTGATGGCAGCCAGCACCGAGAGACGGTTCACACGACTCTTGATGTTGCTTGCCGTTCCGTATTCTTGCGTCAGCATGTTTGAAAATTGACTGATTTGCGACTTGGGGGGAATGATCAGACTAATCATGCTCGTACCTGCTCCGCGAGCAGAGTCGAGTCTGAGTTGGGTCGCGAGGGAGGCGATCTGAGTCTGATAGGTGGCGCATACATGCTGTCGGTGCCAGTCAGTGCGACTCACGACTTGACAAGCTTCTTGATCTTCCACACTGCAATCTGTTGCCGGAAAAGGGATTTGGCGATCACATTCAGCGTCGTTGAAGAGGACGTCCCGCATGCCATCGAGTCGACACCAAGCACATCGCGGCGAGCCAAAGCCAGCTTGGCTTGCAAGCTAGCCAACCAGGAGCCTTCGCGATGCCACCCACGCCGCGACGCTTGATGAGGTCCGAGACTCCCTCGCAAAGCCAGACCGGTCACCGGCAAAGCATTCGGTGCGCCGGGAGCGACGATGCCACCCTTTCGCCTACGCCAGCCTGCTCCTATCACGCCAAACATGCCAGTCTTGTCTGCGTGTACGCACGTTCTGATCAGCCTCTGTAGCAGGTGCACCGGCGCCCGCAGCGCCGCTAAGCGCCGACATGTTAGCCACGCTGGACATCTTGCTCGAGTGTAGCGTGTTGATCGACTTGATGGTCCGTGTTCCTGGTGCGCTCGAGAGGGAGTGGTGTGCGTGCTGGTGCGCAACAAGCTTCGACTTGGACCTGAACTTCGAAAGGTGTTGATAGGGTGAGGTGAAAGGTTGTTCTGTTCGACACTTGACTGACGTCTGTCTGGGTGAGCGTCGAGACTGGGTGCGGGTGCGGGTGCGGGTGCGGGTGCGGGTGCGGGTGTGGATGGATGAGTGTCCAGAGGAGAAGGCTTTGGCAACTCGATCACACTGTGACTCTGACTCGCGACTGGGACTTGTGACTCACACTCAAACGCAGATACCGACCCGCCCGTGACTCGTGACTCGTGACTTCACCCTTCGTCTCTCTCATATATCCTACCGCGGCCTCGACATTTTCTTCCTCTTCCTCCTCTCGATCGCGGCGTTGCATGCTGCTGGTGAAGCACGCTAGCTTGCTGCTGCTGGCTGCGCCGCCTGACACGCTCCGCGCACATGCGTCCATCAAATTTTGATCTCGCATGGCGCGGGCGAGGGCGTCCATGTACCGCACACGCAGACGCAGCAGCAGCAGCAGCAGCAGCAAAAGTCTGCGCAACAATCTCGATCACGTGACTGATCAGAATTTCAGCTTCTCGATCGCGATGATGCGCAACGCGCGCGCTTGCATTATTGCTGCTGCGAAAAAGTCTCTCTGCTTGTGAAGCTTGTCGTGGGACTACACGATGTATGCGCAGCACTTCACTCTTCACCATCACTTCAAGTCCTCTTTCCTCACTTCTGACTTCAGACAAGCATAGACGTGAGTATAGAGTCTCACGACCATCGACCGAGGTGCAGTCGCCCCCGCCCCGGAGTAGCAGCATGCAGGCTGACACCAGCTCTCCAACACTCCCATCCTTCTCATCAGCTGTGATCCTTAGTCGTGAGGTCTCACCGTCTCCCTCCCGCCAGCGCTCCCTTCAAGTCTAGCTCCATCCTTTGCAACGCGCTGCAACAATGTCTTCCGAGCCCAACCCCAAGGCATTCCCGCTCGCCGATGCAGCTCTGACCAATCAGATTCTGGATTTGGTTCAACAAGCTTCTCACTACAAGCAGCTCAAAAAGGGAGCCAACGAAGCTACAAAGACGCTCAATCGAGGTATTTCGGAATTCGTAGTCATGACTGCGGATGTTGAACCGATCGAGATTGTTCTTCACCTGCCTCTGCTGTGTGAGGACAAGGTGAGTGGTCTCGCTGGTATCAGCGGCAGGGAATGTCAAGCTGCACACCCGACTCACGCGCTTGATCCCCTCCTTCTGCACATGAAGAACGTGCCTTACGTCTTTGTCCCATCCAAGACGGCGCTGGGAAGAGCTTGCGGTGTCTCTCGTCCAGTGGTGGCAGCTAGTGTCACCACCAACGAAGCCCGGGAACTTCAGAGTCAGATTCAGTCCGTCAAGAACGCCGTGAGTAGAAGCTCTGCTGTCTCTGGCTCAGACGAATGGGCGCGCTGCGTGCTAGAGCGGTGACATTGCGGTGCAAGGGGCTTCGAATGGGAAGTTCAAGGTGTTGATTTCGTCATAGAAGGCACGCATACAAGATAGAAGGGCGCACCAGCCAGCGCGGCTCATCGCAGCGTCAGGCGTTGGCAAGGCTTCAGCGTCGAATTCGGTCTCCCCGCTAGCGCAAAAGCTTGTCGCTGACCGCGTTCCCCTTTCACGCGACGCAGATCGAGCGACTGCTGATCTGAGCTCGACTTTGTACCATCACAAGTCGATATGACGACAACACGGCGCTTGTGCAGTCGTAGTATGATTGCAATAAACGCATGCGACTAGAGCGGCTGAATGGACTGAAGGTTCGAAATATCAAGCTACGTAGGGTTGAACATCTGGTCGGGCCTTGTACGAGCAAGCAGGCAGTACTGATGTCCCTCGCGGCACGCAAGGCAATGGGCTCTTGACTGATGTCAGTGTCCTTCAGGACGTGCGCTTCTGATTTCCCCAAAGCTGTGCGCTTCTCAAAATCGCGAGTCTTCTGCCATTTGTGGCGAGAGACTGATCTCAATCTCCTGGGCTGGGCACACGTCTCATGCACGTGCATAAGTACAGGATCGTGACTGTCGATTCGAATTCTATGCTACATCTCGAGAGGGTCGGTGTAGGCTACCTCGAGTCACTGTCAGAGGCAGAACTATCGCTGTCCGACGAAGCTCTGGACGCGTCCGAGGCGGATCCGCTGGACGATGAAGAAGCTTGCGAGGGAGCAGAAACATTGGTCCTGCTGGAGGAGGAGGAGGAGGAGGAAGATGAATTGCTAGACGTTTCTCGCCTTTCTCTGTACTCCAGATCCTCCTCGATGAGTTCGCGCTTCAGACGTCTTTGCGACTCGGCCGCGCTAGCTGAACGGCTCCTGCGCGGCAACCAAGTGCGTATCTGGGCAAGAGGCGGCACGCGCGCGAAAGATTGGGTCAGCATGAAACACGATGTTGGCGCAGTGCAGTCCCGTCGACGACGCATGGCGCCACGATGAACGCACCAGGTCCAAATATGCGCGAGCCATCTCGACGGCCCACTGATCCCTCGCAGCATTCGTATTGATATCTATCGCATCTTCCACGTTGCCCTCTCCTCCTTCACCCTGCTCCTCCTCTTCCTCCTCCTCCTCCTCTCCACTGTCATCCGTCTCTGCAATCCCTCGTTTCCTCTTCTTCAGCCCGCTTCGCATTCTCCTCTTTGCCTTTTTCGTCTTGAGCTTTTGAGAAGTCTGCAGTCTTTGTCTTTCCATGTTGATCAAGGTCGACTGCGTCGCTCCAGCATTGATGCATCCTTCAAAGTGGTGCGAAGCGACGCGGAGGAGATCCGCATCCCGCTCCGGATCAAAAGGAGGTATGTGGACTTCGGGGGCGCGCATGTTCGACGATTCATCCTTGGGAACGTCTTCAGTAGGAAGCTCGAGAGCACCGAGCTGCAAGATCAACAAACCAGCGTACAAGTGCAGCATGGGCTCGGACCGAAAGGGCCAGGATGTGATGACTCTTTGGGGGACCGCATTTGGACGTTGCTGTCAGACCAGGCTCGATGTACATGAGATCGAGACGTGGACGATGCGCACGCCACTCACATTGAGATCTCTTCCAAGGCTTCTCGGCCTTGTCCCATTGCGATGAGATTCGGCACAAGCTCGACGAGCAAGTTTGCGCGCTGGATCGCGTGCATCACGCGGACGTCAGCCAAGTCGTCGACACACAATACGTGCAGATGAGGAAAGAAACTTACGTGAAAGGCGCGCTTGCTAGAAAGAGCTCTGATGTAGTTGAGCTTTGCCCGGGTCGCGTGCAGCGAAGGCTGGGACAGATCGCTCACACTTCTCCGGTCTGAAGCTTTGTCCACACATCCCATGCCTGCTATCTCCAACCCCATCCTGTAAAGCTCAATCGGTCTCCACTCGTGGCATCTCATCAGGATCCTGAGCGCTCGAGCAGCCCGCAAAGGATCTCTCTTGGCGATCATCAGATGCACCAGATCGTGCAATTTCTGAACCTGCAATGATCTTTCGGAGGGCTGGTTGAGCCTGAGACCCATCGGTGGGTCCACTCTGGCCGATTTGGATCTGCGCGACACGCTCGTAGAAGTGCGCGAGCCGATTTTGGCTTCGTGACGCGCGCCCTCTGGTCCGTCCAAATCTCGCCAAGATGACGCGCGAGGCGGCGTAGCGTTTGCTAGAGGAATGGCTATGGAGGAGGCTTGAAGCTTTCGTTCCCTATTCAGAGCTCTTGTTCTCAGCTTCCAACCAATCAGAGCAGGTCTGAGATGAGGCACGTGATGAAAGAATTGGCTCGCCTCCAACTCTCCATCCACCGCATTCGCAGCCGAATCCAATTGAAGCCTGCTGCTGCTGCTCTCTTCGTGCCCAACAGACTGGCGCGCTGCTGCTGTGGATGTTTTGCCTCTCTTGCGGGCAAGCCTGTCCGACTGGCGCGCAGACGCTTCGCGCCTCCTCGACTGTTTGCTGCCTTGATGCGAAGATCGGCTTTGACTGCGATCCCGGCTCCGAGTGCGACTTCGCTTCAACCGAGGTTGCTCTTCGTCTACGGCCATGCCAGCGGTCTCCCTCGCTGCACCCGCGCTCTCCATCTTGGATGCTAGTCCATGCGCTCGTCTCTTGCGCCTTTGGAGTAATCCTTATCTTTTTTTCGTGTTGATGATGGTCAGCATCAATTAAGATCCACGCCTGCATACTCACGGCTTCGTAGAATCTTTCCTTGCGTGCTCCATTTGAATAAGACACGTATAGCGTACCGCTGCACAAGGCCTGATTAATCCTACCCGTCCGCCCTCAGCGCGCCGCCGGCATGCTGTATATATAGAGATCTGTCACGACGGGTGCGTTATTCATGCGCGCGCGCGTGCGTTGATTGACCGCCGCGGCCCATGCAGACCGCGGCGCGGGCTGGAAAGGGCGGCATGGCTTGTGCGCAAGAGGACCGTGCGCTCCATGGCCGACTTGCAACCTAGCTAGCATCTATACATAGCTGAGGCCCGATCTCTCTCGCAGTCCTTCCCTTCCACCACCCCGCACCCGCAATCACCGACGATACACCTCGAGACGTTGGAGTGGGACTACCCCCCCAATCATCATCGCAGCAATGTCATCCACGTGGGAAGTGCGCTTCAGCAACTCGAAGCAGCTGCCTTACTTTCACGATCCCAGCACTGGCGCATCATCCTGGGAGCCTCCTTCGGAGCTATCGGACTCTCAGATCAGATCCTTGCCCGGTGCGGCGCAATACTTGGGTGGAGGGGCGAGCGCTACTAATGGTAGCTCGGCAGGTGGACATGCTGGCCAAGTGAGGGCTAGCCATTTGCTCGTCAAGCATCGAGAAAGCAGAAGACCCAGCTCGTGGAAAGAGGTGAGTGTATGCGCGGCTGTTTGTAGCGCAAGTGGAGGGAACATTCGCTGCTCTGCTCACTTGATGCTCATCATATCGCCTTCTCTTCCACCCACGCAGTCGAACATCATCCGCAGCCCTGCTGAAGCGGAGGAGATCCTCAAGGGTCATTTGACCTCCCTTGGCGCCAACCCTACACCGGAGAAGTTTGCCGAGCTGGCCAAGGTTCACTCGTGAGTGGCGATCAGTTGTGCCGCGCTCGAAGCCGTCCGCTGCTTGAGCGACCTACTTTGCTGCCGAGCACGCACTAGTCGAGTCGCGCGCTCAATTCATTGTTTCCAGTCTGACCATCAAGGCTTCCCCATCGTCACTGCCTCCTGCGCAGGGATTGCTCGTCGGCCAGATCAGGTGGAGACCTCGGTTTCTTTGGCAAGGGACAAATGCAGAAAGCGTTTGAGGACAATACGTACGCTCTGCAGGTCGGCCAGCTCAGCGACATTGTCTCTACCGACAGCGGCAAGCATCTCATCCTGCGTACCGCATGAGCGAGACATGACGAAGCGAAGCAGCTCACCATTGTAGACGCGTAGGCGCCGTACGGCCAAGTAGCGGGCGCGCGCAAATCAAAATACAGATCGACGTAGTCACACGGTTGATTGTCATCTATTGCGTCTTATAATGACACTTCGAAGTGGTCTGCCATCTTCTGTTTCCTCTATGCGGTGCTCCACGAGCTCGAATGGAGGGCAACGCTTCGCTGCATTGTCCAAATTGTGCGCCATGGCGGAATCATTCGACCACCGATTCCAGGCTCGTAAGATGAGCTGCAAATGATCTACCGAGAAACGAGCACTGGTTGGAGGAGATGTGTATGTACTCCAAAGAGATGGTTCGAAGCGGCCACAGCTAAAGATAGCGCGTCGGAGGCCATTTTTGCGCCACTCATCCTCCGCCCCTGGGCCTGATCGCAGGTGCTCGGAAATTACTGATTCGCTGTTCGTTTTCAGCCTCTGCTTCTCCTCGCTGCTCAACAGAGCGAAATGGGAGATGGCCAATACGCCTCTCACGTTGATCCATCCATGCAAACCGAGCAGAAAGTCGATGGGCGGCAGAAATCTTACGAGCAAGATGAGGTCGAACGTGCCCATGGGTGGCGTGCCCGCCATGTCCAACGCCTGCGGACTCGCTTGTTCGGATTCTTCCCTGCGGACTGCTCTGATCTTTTGCTCGGCGATGCGAGCCCATACAAGGGCGTCTACGCCGGTCGCTCCGGCAAATGACGACGATGCGTGGTCGATGAGGCTGGTGGGCCCGTCCAGGATGCCTCGCGCAGGCGCAAAGCCCGCATCTCTCAGCAGCATTTCCGCCCGCAAGAGCGCTTTTCGCAGCGAGTCTACGCCGACTATGCGCCAAATGACACCCTGAGCAACAACAGCGTCGGTGGAGAGAGGTGATCATCTGAGCCGTCGTTGGACGTCGATCGAGAGCAGACGAGATCAGCAAGAAGGACTCACCGGTGTGAGTACTCGAGATGCGTACTCGCACACCCATGCCACATCTCTTGCTCCTCCGCAGCCCAGGTCAAGAGCCCTAGCGACGGTAGCCTCGTCGCGATCCGATTCGCCTATCCTTACCGAGTCCCCGTCGGCAAAAGCCAGCATGGCCCGTTCGACTACAGGCGATGGCTGGAACATCAATGCAGGCATATCGTGGCGGTGTCGCGCGTCACGAGGAATCGTGTTGAAGGCTTCTCGATCGCCTTGAACATCTGCACTCGTCGAAGTCAACAGGCCCAAGTGCGCTGCGAGGCGCCAGAATTCGAGCGCGCCTTCTTGCTGCTCATCGTTTGCCGTGTCGTTTCGCAGACTCTCTATCAGATCGCGCAAGGCGCTTGCACTTCCGCACGACTTGTCGAACGGTGCGGCCGTTGCATCTGCGTGCGAGTCGGCATTCGCATTGCGCACGACCAGACGCTGGCTGGGCAACTCGCATTCTTCAGGTCCGACGATCCACCTCCAGCCATGCACATGCCACTTGTCAAACTTGTGCTGAATGATCCAATCACGTTTCTTTGCCACAATCAATCGAATAGGAGGCACTTGCACACGCTCGCTCGACGGTGAGGCTGCTGCTGCTGCTGCTGCTGCTGCTGCGTGTCCATCCGCTCCGTTGGGACTTGCGCGGACGATGGGTGGAGGAGGCAGGGAGCTGAATCTATGCTCCAGCTCGGCAAGACCTCCTATGTGATTGGAACGCAGTATGTGAGCCGCGCAGAAAGCTTCGACGGGGCGCAAATCTAGGATGACTGGCCAGTCCTCTGCCCATCGTGCCATTCCCAGCTGCCGCATATCTTCCTCGCAGCCCGTGGAGCCGGATCGCTGATGGTGAGCTGTGCTGAAAGCACGCGCGCATGCACAGCCGATCCTCGCGCTCTTGAGCGAATCCTTCCGCCTGCCGACACCTCGTGCTGATCCTCGTACAGAATGTACAGAGGGCGTTGCTGTTCAGGCAATCAAGCAATTGCACGAATGCTACAGCTGGAAAGCGCTTCCCTTCAATCTTGCGTGATCTCCATCTGCACCAAGCGTTGTCGTCTGTCCCTCGAAACTGCGCCCACCGAGTTCCGGGCCAAAGTTGTCTTGGAGCCTCTAGCGCTCAGTCTTGCAATTCACGGGTCATCTGCGGGGCCTCTCGATGTCTTGTGTATCGTCGTCGTTGTCGCATGGCACGTGTGCCAGTGTGCCATTACCAGCGCCCAGGTTACGATCGAGTCTCGAGGACATGCAGTCACGAGTCTCGAGTCACGAGTACATCAACGTGCCGAGGGAATCTGCCATTCAAGATTTTGAATCATGAATCTTGAATTTCAAATATTTTGAGTGTCAAATCTATTCAAAATGATTATGATTCGTGATTATGCTTTTGACCCAGAACTCTTGACTCTGACTCTTTTCAATTTGTGATTCTTGATACAAGCCGAAACAATACGGTCACGTGACTGCGCAGCGCCCAGCTTGAGCGGGGCGAAAGAGGAACGGGGAAGCAGCGCAGGGTTCCCACACCTGCGCCACACACAATCACGAATCACGAATCGTGCGTGCGCTCTCGCGACTATTGAGACAGCGACCACCATCCCGCATTCACGATTGAAGACGAGCCGTCGCGCTGCCGCGTACACCTCATTCCGCGCCCTACGCCTCGAGGGCCATCGCGCTATCATCGTCTGGGCCGGCTTTGGCTCAAGCCACTTCGTCCTGATCATGTCCGCTCCGAGCAACCCAGCGGATGCATCCGCAGGCTCGAACAACGTATCCTTGCCCGGTGCCGCGCGAGCGACGGACGAGTTCACAGAGACGGTGGCGTGGGGCGCCACGACCGAAGTATCTGCAGAGGAGATCGTAGAGAAGAGCAGACTGGTGCGCGAGATCCAGAATCAGCAGAGCAGTCTAAAGGGTGAGTCGTGTGAGCGAGCAAGCGAGAGGCCAACACGTGGCGTCCACATGCTGCTACATCGTCCCACATGCACTGACAGCGATCGCGTCGGTACTGCTTCTTCTTGTGCTTTGCCCTGCGCACAGCCCTGCTGGCGCGAGTGATGGCTGTCAAGGCGGACTGCACCAAAGCGGAAGCGGACAACGAGATGCTGCAAACGTACATCGATAGCGTCACAAAGAGTCTGGCTGCCAGGAGTTGATGGGCCACGTGTCTGGAGCCCTGCGCTGGCACAAAGGCAACGCGAACTGGGCACACTGGTCTTTTGGTCGGATCAGCACAGGTTCTTGAAGAGCGCTGCGCCACTTCAATAGCATTCACTCAAGCCCCACCTGGCGCGCTTTAGCACGCAAGCACAGGTGCGCATGGCGAACCAAGTAGCCCACCATGGCGCGTCGAAGAGTTCAGGGACGCGCCATGATCTTTGCCAGTATCATGGGAATTGAATTCTCGAGAAGCCACCACGCGGACGCAACCGTGCATTCATGCCGGAGGATTGACTCGGTCGAACGTCAGGCGCATACATCCATCTCCGGCAGAAGGGCAAGCATCGGGGCACATATCGTACTCTGCCTGCACAATTGTACTCCACCAGACTTGGGTTCAGCGCAAAGGTGTGTCACGCACCTTGACGGGGTGGTCATCACGTCGTAGCGGAGCGAGAAGTGGACTCGACGATGGCGTGGTGGATCGATCGCCTCTTCTCGAGCCAAGCAGCCAATCTTCCCGGGGCGCACAATTTGGTGGTCAATTGGCACTCAATGTGAACAAGACATGCAGCACATCGACGATACGCGATACAAACGTCCATTCATTGTGCGCGTTGTGATGATTTGGATACAGCGTCCGTAACAATCGGGAACCCGCCAAATTAGGACTCCAGAATGTCTGACTGAGCAGAGCAGATCTTCTTGCTCGTGCCGCAAGTTCGGATGTCGTCGCGGTGCGACAGCCTCGGCGCCACCTCAAGGGGGAGGGCGAGAGGGATTCTTTGGGTTGGAGAGGATGAGGTCGTAGTATTGGGTGGCATCGTCGGACCTCTGGTTCGTAGCGATGAACTGCAGCTCCTTGTGCTTGGTCTGGCTGATGACGACGTCTGTGGTGAGGGACGTTTCGAGGAACATTCTAGCATCGCTAGCAGCGATGGTGTTGTAGAACCAGAGATTTTCTGCCGTTTCGGTGGTGCAGTATGCATCCAGCACGCTGTTGTGCGTGCCTGGAGCATTGTTCGTGCTCTCCAGCGACAAACAGTGCTGCGTTGCTCCGGCTGGACGAACCAATCCGTAGCCGGTCACTGGACGTCCCGAAGTGGGAGGCTTGTAGTCGGCTGGAGGAGGACGCGAAACGTCGGTGCAGTTGTAAAAGATGAATTGCTGCGGCTTCAGAGGTTGCCCATTATCGTCCAGCGTGACGATCAGCGAGGACTGTTGGCCATCTGGACCGGCGTGCTTGACTCCAGGCACGATACCAGCCCAGATGACGGGCGTGGATCCGCCAGCGCCGCGAGGACGCAGGCCCTGTGGTGGGAAGATGTGAAATGAGGAGAGGGGAAACGAGTTAGTTGGATGTTCGCATCATTGCGTCATTGCGCACCTCCACCATACACTCACGAGTGCGGCGTTGGCGTACTGCTCGCAGTTTGCAACGTCCCTCTGTACCAAAGGAGCTCTATTGGCTGGCGAAGCGCTGACTGCCGAAGCAGCAAAGACGCCCACGAGAGCAGCGGAGAGGAGCTTGTAAGAGAACATGACGGATACTTTCGGGCGCACGGAGAGCTCGAGAAGGAGATGCTTGGATAGGATATGGGCAGGTGGCGGTCTGGGGCGACCCCTACCTTTATACCCCCTTTGAGGATGCCATGCGTGCGTGCCCTCGATCAGAGCGGCGACGATCGGTTCATCGGTGTTCGGAAGCAATTAGGCACGGATCTTCTCGCGGCGGCGGCGAAACGTGATGTGAGGAGGCCTACCGGTGCCGGTACTGGCACAGCATCAATCCTGAGCGATTCCTCTTGAGATCATGCAGCACCAGCCCTTCAAGGCACAAGAGGCGCTGGATTGCAGTCTGCAATCGCTCGCCGGCGGTCCGGTCCGGTCTCTCGATCAGCAACGCAACATCACAAATGACTTTTGTCGCCCCCGCCGGTCCTTCGGCGTCTACCACGTCAGGCTCGCACGTACGGCGGGCCGTGTCTTGTGTACTTAATTGACGACGGCTCGTTCCTGATCGCTGATGTCCGACGCGATACCCCGCTCCTCTTCTATCAAGCTAGCTCTCTTGCTCGGTCTCAGTCCATCGCTCAGGGTTAGGTGGTGGCAGTGTCAGGCGTGAGGCCCAGCTGAAGGACACGAATGTGGGTCCTTCCTTATTATTATGCGGCCTAGCTGTCTAGGCACTATAGCGCGAGTGCGGCTGCAACGGCGCGCCCAAGTCTCATGGCGCGGCGCAGCAGGAGGCCTCACGAGCGATCGTGCATCGCATCGATCGGTTACCGGTAGCTCTTCCCCTTCCGAATGCAGCATATATGCGTAACGGGCGCCGCGATACCGCCGGCGGAAGCTTTGACCGATGATGCCCGTGCAGCGGCATCAACACTCACGACTTCCTCGGAACTTCATCAACGTGACGTGACGTGGGATTGTGGGTGTGCGATTCCAGTGCCGATTCGATTCGTGGTCATGATCCACGATTGTGCTCAAGCCATGTGCAAGCTTGGGCTCCAGAACAGCAGACTGTCGATGGCGCTCGTCGTGATTGGCTCGAGCCCCCGTGTTACGCATGGGGCGTACGTCGGAAGCCAGAGACGCTTGGTTCTGTCATGCCCGCTTTTAGCTACAAATCCTCCCACACATTTCGAGATACAATCACGCGGGTACGATTCGGCCCAGTCAAGCAGAGCGAGCAGCTCAAAGGGGTCCAAGGCACCCAGACTCGCCGCAACACAAGTGGCATGAAATGACGCGGATTTTGCAATCTTGGCGCTCGACGGACGGCAAAGACGAGGGAGGAGGGGGAGGGAACAAGCTGTTTTGCATTGCGACTGGCCGACTGGTCGGGGCACAGATGTGCCACTACGGAGACGATTGCGCTCCCATGCTCCCCTGACGCTGCTGATCTGTGCCCTCTTGTCTCAGGTAGGACAGCAGCCTGGGCTATTTCGAAGAGCCCCCTTCCGAGGAGGCGGGGGAACCCCCGATGGTGTCGCTCGACTTGGATGTGTCGCTCGATTGGCTTGCATCCCTCTTCAATCTGGCTTCGATTTCAGCGTTGACATGGCTCACGTCTTCGCCCTTGAGTGCGCCAACCACTCGAAGCTTGTACAAGTCAAAGGTCGCGACATCCGACAAGACCTTGGGTATAGAGCTCGCTGGAGACTTTGGAGGATGCGCCTCGCTCAAAGTGGGGTCTTGCTTTCCCAACATGGCGAGCAGCGGTTTGCGAACTTGCCAAGGCATGGCAGCTAATCCGTACTGTTTTGCCAACGAAACGAGCTGCGCATCGATTTTAGAAGTGTCGCGACCAGCACGGATGGCTGCGTATCTTTCTCTTTCCAGCTTGACCGCACCGGTATTGTCGTGTGGCTTGAGCGGTAGACCCGCAGTCTCTCGCTGCTCCTTTCTACGTTTGAAAGACTGGTACGCTTTCAGGTTTGGAGGCGCCTTGCCACGTCCCAACTTTTGCGCCTTGACATCCAACGCGCGCGAGTATCTGTCGCGTGCTTCCGCACTTTCTGCATCAGCGCGACCCCTGTAGAGCTCCTCGAATGTCGAATTGGCCAAGCCCGCTGTCCGCGGCGACATTGGCTTGTCCATCTGCTCTAGGTCGGGATCTGAAATCACTGCCGCTTTGCGCTTCAGTCTGTAATAGGTCGTTCTGGAGCTTGGCGTCTGCATGTTCTTCGCCTTGGCCAGCGCTTCGATCTTTGCCTCCACTTCCGCGGTATCCTTGCCATCTCTCTTTAGATGACTCCTCTCGGCAAAGAGGGCGGACATGTTTTGGCCAGCTCTGGCTGTCCTCAGGACGAAGGGACCAGATTTGCTCGCCGGAGAGGAAGGTGCACTATCTGTACTGCTGGGTGTGCGTGCCTGTTCAGCGGAAGGAGTACGAGGTTCCACAGTCGCTTCCGCAATGTCGTTTGAAGCGGCGGGCGCGCTGTGATGCGGTAAGTTTTCGGGACGTGGCGGGCGTCCCAATCGTGGCAGCGTGCCGAGCAAGGACTTGGATCTAGACGCGCCCCTCTGAGTCTTGAGCATGTAGTGCATGACTCTGTAATGTTCGGGTGTCTGCGGTATGTCCGGCAGGCCCAGCGCTCTTGTTTTCTCCGCGATGGCATTGTCCAGCAATGGGGCATGCTCCGGCTTTACTTTCCATTTTTGTCTCATCAAGACGTCGAGACGTGTGCGTTGGTAATTCTGCGGATCGATGTGTTCGTGAGCTGCGGGAACTTTGTAAGATGCTCGCGCCTTGCTGGTCAGCTGCCTCAGTCTCTCAACCTCATCTGCTGGGGCCCCTGCCAATCTCGCGGCTCTCAATCTATTTTCCAACGTCCGAGCAGATGCAACTTCGATCTCGACTGGACGTCTGCCCCTTCCGCCTTTGACTTTTGGGTCTGCGTCTCGCGAACCACTCGGCGAAGTGCTTTCTGAGGTGGCCGCTTTTGGCCCGGACTTCGAGATCGAGCTATGATCATTGTCCGAGGAACCAGAATTAGGGGACTCTGTAATATGCGCGTCTGAGTGGAGGTTCCCATAACGATGGGCAGGCGTGCTTGGTCGCAAGGGCGTCCGTGCGAAGGGACTGATGGAGTGCTCTGTGTCGAGATGAGGCCCATGGAATGCATCGCGGAAATGCGCAGGCGAATTCGGCCGTGAAGGCGTCCGCAGCAAGGAATTGGCAAATTGATGCGCATCCGCATCCGAGTCGTAGAGCGCGTCATTGTGATGAGAAGGCGTGCTTGGGCGAGAAGGTGTCCGCAGCAAAGAGTTCACAAAGTGATCCTCGTTGAAGTGTGTGGGTGACGAGGGGCGCGACAGATTGTTGCCGGATCGATCGTGTGCAGGTGATCCGAACATCGACCGTAGCAGGGACCAATCGTGATCAGCCAGGCCATGTAGCGTGGTTTCAGAAGACCCCACATCCACGTGATTGGCATGGACTATGCCTGTCTGCGGAGCGTGACCGCCAAGGCGACCTGTCGCATCGCTGCCTGTGGCGTGAATGCCGGTTCCAGATGAATACTGGTGAAACATCTCCTTTGACGTTCCCGCCTCCGCGACCATTGGCTCCAGTGTTGGAGGAATGCCGCGTCGATCCCATTTTGCCTGTTGTCCGTCTGATGCGAGAACGATTGGGACAAGGGTCAGGAGCAACGTCCAGCGCATCGTGCAGCTCGTCGAGCTGCGAGCGGTGAAGGGTCTCGATCGCAGGGGTATCTTCAAAACCAAATCTAAGCTGTCCTGCAGGCGAAAGAGACAACATGTTCGCATTGAAAGCTGAGAGTGAGGATGTGAGCTATCGAAGCTTGACAGGGGACCCCGAAATATATGTGCTCGTCGATGGTCCCAAGACCATCGCCACCGTCGCAAGCCATGGCGGTATAGAAAAAGGCGCAATGCTGCCTTATCGACATGAGCCTACGAATTGATGAAGATACGCTGTGCTGTAGACGTCAGCAGCGAGCCAGGAGAGCGGAACGTGGTCCAGCCAGCGCGTGGCCGCCACTTGCACAACGCCTCGCGATAAGCCGGCTCGAAGCGGTAGGCAAGGCTTACAAGCGCGCAAGATGGGCGGATTGATTGGCGGGCAAGACGCAGCGCAATCGGTCAACGTCGGATCCGTCGCTGGCGTCCTTTGCGGGGATCCATGCCGAAATGTACGGCCGACGCTGTTCCAGGATTTGCGTGCTCCGACCGTTCTTGTTGAAGCTATTGCATCATGCATCGCACACAGTCGTGTGCGAGCGCCTTGACGTGATCCTTCTCTCAGCAACCCAAATTACAATCTCGAATGCTAGCATTCCTGCCACCAACACCGTGTTGCGGAGCGATTGATGCATGACGCCACGCAGACGCTGGCCCTCCACGACGCGGCGCCACGCAGATAGCAATCGAAGCAGGTGCAATTGAAGGCGGTAGAGTAATGCTGAATGGGGTTTCGTGAAGCCAAATGGTTGATGAGTGAAAGGACCTTTGACGTGCTCGGCCTCAGCTTTAAACCTCGGTCCATGCTCGGTGAACAAGGCACGCTCGCCATATCACGATTCAGGAGGATGCAACGGATCGCGTAATCGATACGCGTCTTGCTCTCGATCAACGGTCGAATGTCCATCTTGGTCGCGAAATGTGGCGACGATGCGCCACACCGGTGTGCTGATAACGAGACAAATCTAGAAGCGAAACACCTGCAGCGTACCGGATCGCTTGGATGCGAGCGTCACCTTAGCGCTTGCACCAGTTTCCTCGGAAGCCGCTTGACTCTCAGCCGTTCCCTTCTTGAGCTGCCCTCCGATCTCTTCTCGTTGAGCATTGGGTCCGTGCTATCAGCATCTCGCGAGCTTCACGCAACCTTCGTCGTGGACCTATCGCCCTGCACACATTCATCTTGCAAAAATGAGTAGTTGGGCTAGACTTGTACCTTTTGATACCCTGTCTGTCTCCGTGCGTAAATCCGCATTGGTGATTCAATTGCGATTCAGATTCATATTTGGCCCTGTTATGTATCGTGACAGCCGCGCCGTCGATGTAGCGTGTGCGCGGTGCCCACCAGTCGCGCACGCGCCATTTGCCACGTGGCGCCGTGTGAGCTGCCCGCCCAGCAGGTGCTTCGCGCGCTCTTCCTGCTCAAAATCTGGTGATGCAACAAACGCATACAGCATGCGCCGCGCGGTTCACGAGCACAGCTCATCCAGCGGCACTTCGCACATTGCACCCGTGACTTTTGACTCGACACTCACACTTTGACTCACATCCCCGTTTGACACTCACGACTCCAGTGACCAGATCAGACCACCGTCGCTGACCTGGCCAACTCTCCGCACCGGAACTCTGATCCGCGAAACCTGCCTCTCTGTCGACTGCCAGCTCCTCCTAATCGCTTCCTCTTGGCAGCCTAGCGGAAGCGCGCGCAGACTAATTTCAAGCATCTCTCAACACACACCACGATGGTAGTCCGATTACGCTTATCACGGCAAGGGCCAAAGAACAGCCCCTTCTACCACTTGGTGGCCATCCGCGATTCTGCTCGTCGCGATGCTCGCCCCATCGAGAAGCTAGGAGAGTACGATCCGGTTCCCAAGGTGGTGGCTAATCCAGCAACCGGCTCGCGCAGCAGCTTTTCTGAGAGAGCCAGCGGAACTCTGCATCCAGCACAAGATAGACGTACTGGTCTCTTCACCAGTGGTATCGCTTCTGCTCGCAATCCCAGATTGGAGAAGAGAGTAGAGTGGAATAGGCAGAGGATCGCTTACTGGCTGCAAGTGGGCGCTCAACCTACCGACGTGGTAGCCAGGCTGCTGTACAGGGTGAGTAAATGCGCGTATGAGAGAGTGCAATCTTTGAACATGTGGCTCATCTTTGCACAATCGCTCTCATACCCAAGGCCGGAGTGATAGATGAGCACGGAAGGGTGCAGCGGGACAGCCAACCCGAGGCAGGAGGGCAACGGATCAGCGAGGCGGAAGCATCTTCAAGTCAACAAGTCGAGCAGCTCGAAATTGAAGCGCAGTCTGTTCGGGCAAGCAGCGCTCCCGAGGTGAGGGACAAGCTCCCAGCCATCCTGCAACTCATTGCCGAGTCGAAGCAGCGAGCTGCAGAGAGCGCAGAGGCGGCCAAACGCGGAGAGGCGATGACGTCTTCGTCGCCATCAGAGCTTCTTCCACCATCTCAGCTCTCCTCGGAGGAGCTTGAGCAGCAGCCGCCACATCTTTTCAGACCTGATCAGAGGCTTCGCGACGCCGAGAGGAGACGTGAGGGCGATGAGCAGCCGCAACGTCTCGGTCGCGCCCCGCTGAGACTTTCGCAACTCGGCGTGCTCAAGAGGAACAAGGGCAGGGGCACACCGCCCCATCGACCTCAACTTCCACCGAAGAAAGCGAGGCCCGAATTAGAGGCAAACGAGTCAAGCTAGCATCAATCAACCGCAATGCATATGCTTCAGAGCGCGACAAATGTGGCTGATCGTTGAGCAGGAAGAGCCCTACTTTGAAAGTGCATGTATGCATGCGCGGGTGTGCAAACGTGTCGCCTCATACGTCTGGCATGTTGTGAGGCGCTCACTTGCTGCCAACGCCGTCGCCAGTCTGGGGGCAAGCTATACGCATTGCAGAAGGGATCAATCACCTGCTAGGCGAGCATTCGCGCCCATGTCTGACACTCACCCTTGTCAGCAAGCTCGGCGGCCGTACCAGTCACGCCACCTTGAGCCTTGGCATCGGGACCTGACTGAGCAGCTTGCTTGATCTCTTGAGTAGCGGCCGCTTTCGTGTCTGCACCGGATTGCTGCCACGCTTCGCTGCCAGTCGCATTGCCGATCGCTTCCTGCCGGGCGAGCGGGCGCGCAACGAGCGAGATGGGCAGGGGGCAGCGTGTCAGACCAGGTCGACGCGATGGCACGGCTTGGAGTCGCGCCTCGTCGACGACCGGTGCGCGACATGCAGCGCTGGGGCGCTTCATCGAGAACGCCGCGCTGGGCTAGGCGAAAAAACTCACTGAGGCGGCACCTTGGGCTAGCTTGGCGTGTCCAGCAGCTACACCAGCAGCAGAAGAGAGAGCAGATTGATCGGACATTTTGCGCGCGTTTGTTGTGGATGAAGTGTTGAAGCGTCTGAGTGAGTTGGGGAGTATTGACGCTCTTTGCATACCGTTTTTTTAAACTTTGGGGGTGGTGGTGGTGACGGGTGAACAAGTAGAGGATGCAGGGTCTGCACGGGGCTGGGAATGAAGGATGAGAATGCACTCATCTCCACACGAAGCATCGGGTGAGAGGAGCTCTCTGCTACGCGTCATGTAGCTTAGTCAAGCCCTGCTGCATGCATGCAGCTGGTGATCGGTCGTCTGGCTCGCGTCAGAGGCACCGCGTATACACGGCTAGATGCCCCGCCTCATGGCCTGAGCAAACATCGTGGATAGGTGTACAACCACCGCATGTCAAACCGAGAGTCAATGTGGTGAGTCCGTGGTCCATCTCGTCTCGCTACTTGCGACTCGGACCATCAACGCACCGCCGCAGATCTGCGCCTCATTGCTCCAAGGCCAAGGCAGGACTCTTCAGAGTCGAATCTCGGAGTGCGTTCCATGACTTGACTCGAGCGGCAAGTCAGAATGGGAAGGGGGAAGTTGTGAAACATATCGCCTAATCGCAATCATGGTGTCAACACCAAGCCATCGATCGCGGAGCTCGTGTCTCTGAAAGCGACCTACCAGCTGGATAGAGTGCACATCATCCATCCGTTATCGCACTAGGTCTTGGTCGCAGCACAGGAAAAGGCCACGCTTCGTCCTCGCGTTCGCACTGCCCATTTCGTCGCTCAGCTGGCATGACGAGTGATTACGCTGTGCTTGGAATAAGAATTACGGTGGGTGACTCTTGCATTCACAAGCCTCAAGACGATGCGCTCTGGCTATCCCCTTGCAGCACCAGACACTCGAGCCCTTGCTTCCCTCAGCACTTCTCTGCATTCCGACGCAACCTCCTTGACGCCGTGTACCCCCGCTTCATCCCATGCTGACAGCACCGCCTCGGACTGGCCCCACAGCCTCTCTGCTGCAGCGAGGCCTTCATCTGCTGTGCCTGTGCGCGAGATCGAGGCGAAGCAAAAGTGAGCATCGAAGCAATCATCAGTCGCGGCTGCATCCCCTCAAGCCCACGCTTGTATGCTGCTACCTGGACAAGCAGAAGCACACTCACGCTCCAAAGCTATGCAATCCCGCAACCGAGTAGGCAGCTCCACGACTCGCTCGATGGCACGTGCCTGCTGTCCTTCTTGATCCCGACCGCTCGACTTGTGCTGCACCAAGTGCTCGGGCAAGCTCAGTTCAGCGCGGGTCTTGTCGATCTGAGTCAATGAAGCTCTTAGAGCGTCCAGTGAGGGTGTCAAGTCGTCTGCTCTGGTCTTCATCTGAGCGCAGAGCAGGAGGCGAAGCGATGCGAGCAAAGACGCAGCGTCAGCAGCATACATCCCATCATCTTGCACAGCTTCGGACCATGTCAACGCATACATGCATGCTTGTTCCACCATTCCCACGATTCCTGCAACACCATGTGCTCCGCGCTCACTTTGCGTATTGTCTCGCTAGCAGCTACCAGCTCGTGATGATGATTGTACACCAAGCTTTGCCTCTCCCCATCCAGTTCCCTGATCTCGGTCAAGAGCCTAGCCTGATCATTCATCAATCCAGCCGCATTTTTCGTCCTTCTCAAATCTTCCAAGGCCAATGAGGGCGAGAAGTTGATCGAGTCGGGATCCAAAGGTGAGGATGAGGAGGAAGCGACCGCTGCACCTGCGCTGCTAGAACCGTTGGAAGCGGAGGCGGCCAGGCCGTAGTAGTCGCGCAAAGCGCTGCTGCCTACTCTACCGCCTGTTCTTTGCATGATGCTTGATATGGCGTGACGTGAGATCGAGATTGCTGTGGATGTCTGGATGCCGAGTGGAGTCTACTGTAAGCCCGGCGCCAGTCACAGTCGAGATGGGCTCGATGGTGCCGGTCAAAGTCCGAAAAGTCGCGAGTCAAGGGTCGCGAGCACAAAGGTCGAAGCCGCTTCAGCATGCACGCACGCCATCATGCATGCGGGCGGTGCGACACGTGACGCTGTTCAGGAACGCGCCGCCCCCGCGCGCTACAACGCAGCATTCACGCTTCGTACACTGCGCAGCTCGACCGACCCAGCTCCATGACTTTCCCGCACAGTCGCCCACCTGATTCTTGCCTCTCCTCCACCTCCTCCCTATTCCTTGTCACCTGCCACGTCGGCGAGCGACGTTTCCGAGCCCCGAGCAGGGTGCTCATCCATCGCGCGCCAGCCAGCCAATGCTGAGCGATCCACTATGGCTTCCTCTCCTACCCCTTCCTCCTCTTCGACGTCTGGGGCGCCGGTGACGTACAAGCCGTACGTGAGCCACAGGCGCAACGCATCATCCCTAGCCTCCTCAGCATCCATCACCCCCGCTGCCACTCCTCCGCCTCCCTCTCTCACACCTCCCATCGAGTCGGCATCGGCACAGCACGCGGGGCCCTCTCAGAGCACCCCTCGTGCCCAACATGTGCTCCCCGTGAGCAATGGGCTTAGCCACTCTGTGAGCTCACCACCTCCTGTCCGAAAAGTCGCCTTGCCCTCCAGCTCCACAACTACATCAGCCGCGCCTCCGCCTCTTCGTAGAGTATCCGCTTTGCGAGCGCAAGAGTCAGCTCCGCTCCCAAATGGAAAGGGCAAGGGCAAGAGCAGGGCTGTCGCGCAAACAGAGGCCGCAGTGGAATTGGACGCACATCTTGAAGGGCCTGCTGCAGACGAGTCATTCAGTGTTTCACTCCCAAACGGCGGTGGGGAGTCAGATGCAACGACCGGTCGAGCTCTTGGTGCAGCAGCTGTGATATCATCGTCAAACGGCAAGTCTCGCCCGACGGACACAAATAGGAACGGCCCCTCTCGCACTCCGGGCTCGGTCGCTCCTCCTTCTCCGCGAGGCAGTGATGCGCATTCATACACTCAAAGTAAAGGGGAAGCTTCCCGGAATCGAACCCAGGCACTGACCACTCACAAATCATCGCGCTCGCTCGCCGGGCAGAGTGAAATGGCATTGCCCCATCACATCTCCACGGCGGCGCGCCTACGCGAGCACAACAGGTCGCCCTCGACCATCTCTCAAAATTCGATCCAACGCGGCGTACACAGCGACGCAGTTGAGATGGATCATGCTTTCGCTACGATCGCAGCAATGCCCGGCATGGACCTGAACGCTGATGCAGGCTTTCAGCCAAAGGGAACGGAGAGGAATAGATCCGAGGAGTTTTTGGCGCTCAGGCGAGATCACAAGAGCAAAGAGGCCAGCAAGGAGATGGATTTGGAAGGTGAAAGAATGGAGAGGAGGCTGGAAAAGGTAGGTCGGGCGATGATTTCTCCGAGGTAGCGATGCATTTGCTGACTCTGCACGTCTACGACGGACAGCTCACTGCGTTGCACTTTAGCGGAGGCGGGGAAGAGGGGAGCGTAGGCAGCTTTCGTGGGTCCGCCTCTGCTGGCTCGTGGGCTGATTCCCTACGAGGCTGGGCCAGCGCGGAGAAAGCCGCAGAAGCCCAGCTGCGCCAGCAGGAGATGCAAATCGTGCGCTGGGAGGACGATGGCGCGAGAAAGACGTGTCCTATATGCTCGTGAGGGAACGGCGTGCATGCTGTGAATTGCCGCCGGAAAGTCACTGACAAGCCTATGGATCACCTTCAGCACGCCATTCAGCCTTGCTGTCCGCAAACACCACTGTCGACTCTGCGGCAGCGTCGTGTGCGCCTCGCCCCACTTGTCTTTGCCGCCGGGACTTGCAGAGACCTTTTCTCAAACCGAACATGCCGCGCAACAGGCCAAATGCTCTGGTCTCGTGCTCGCAGATCCTCAAACGAGCATCATACGAGATGCGAACGCAACGTCTGATGGTAGAGTAGGCTTTCGGATCTGCACGCGGTGTAGGGCAACCATCACTCGTCGACAGTACATGCTGGATGACGAAAAGGTGCCAGTGTATCTACAGCTGTACGAAGCATTGATACAGCTGCAACGCGAGATCGAGCAGACTCTGCCGGAATTTCAAGAGATGGTGCTGGGCTTGCAGAAGCAGGATGCGAGCGCTGCGCTGGGGACCGATCCGCATAGGGACCTGCAACGAACTCCAACAAAGGCCAAGAGCGCCTTGGCGCTGCAAAGGAACGCTGCGCAGGCGAGGAAAGCGCTGCTCGCCAACTTTGCAAATTACGATGCGCTCGCGAGGCGCATACAAGCTCTGCCTGCCGGCACCAACCAAGCGCAAAAGCGCGTACAAGAGTCCATTTGGACTCGAGCCAATCTCTTCTTGCAGCAGAATGTAAGACACAGTGCGACGTGCGACTTGCGAACCTTTCTTTGCCTCGAGCTCATCTGCTGTTCTTCCCCCATCTGTTCGATAGATGTTTCCTTTGCAATCACTTCCCGGCGCGATCACCAAGGGCACCAACGAAAAGTCACGCTCCAAGAAATCCGACGCGAGCGCTTCGCCGTCGGGGACCAACTCTGCGGCGGCGCAAGAGGCAGTGCAAGAGCTTCAAGTTCTCGAAGAACAGTACAGATCGGTGTCTGCGTGGGCGGATGCCGCGCAGAACAATAGACAATTGGAGGATGCGAGGACGTTGCGAGCCTCTGCGGACGAGGTAGCCAAGGAGGTTCAGAGGCGGCGCAGAGAGCTTACAGAGCTCGGCATACTGCGAGATCATTAATGCATGACGTGTTGCATTTCGAAGCCGTGCGTGTCGGCGATACAAGTACAGCAATCGTGAATGCATGTGACGGTCGGTGTGGTAGACACTGTGACGTGGAGCGATGCGTCAGCTCATGGCACAGTCACCTAGCAAGCGCCACCATGAGCAAGGCGCAGTCAACCAATCAGTAGAGTGAAGTTTCATCAAGCTCAAAGGGACCAGGCATCGCCGGCAAGCGAGCCCTTTATGTAATCCCCCCAAGCCGCTTTTCAGGCGCAAATTACACTAGTACAGCATCATGTGGAAGCACGACAATGTTTGCACTTGAGGTCGTAGACTCACCGTCTGTTCAGGCGCCTAGGAGTCTGAGCGCGCGAGCCTCGTCATTCTCATCGACGTATGCTTTGCCTTCCTGCTCGGACTCGTCTGTGCCGTCATCCCCGCTCTCACCCTCGCGGTCTTCTGGTAAGACAAAGTCAGGAGTGACGTATCCATCGTCGTCGTCGGGATCAGCCAGCATGGTAGGTCCGCGAGGTTCTTCTCCCCTGGCTTCCCGTTCGCGTTCTTTGAGGATCCGCTTCCTCTCCCTCTTTTTCTCCTTCAGCCTCTCCTTGTCGACCGCATCGCGCTCCTTCATCCTATCACGCTCCTCTTCGATGAACCGTCGTGCGAGCTCCTGCGCATCTTCGCCCGCTTGACCATCTCTGAACGTTTGCTCGCTCTGCAGCTCGTACACATCGCGCGGCATGCCAGCCTCGTCGAACACAATCTTTTCGCCCTGACCTCGCTTGCCGGACGCTGCCATTGCCTTTTTGCTGCTACCCATGGCCAAGGCCCTCTTGGATAGATGCGAAGAGGCCGGCAACGCGTCGTTGCCATCCTCGAGGCCATGATTGGCGCGTTTGAGTGTGAGGAAATCGTCGTCGTCTGAATCTTGCCCGTCGACATTTGTAGGCTCGCCAGAATCAAAGAGGACGTCTTTACCCCGCTCGCCTTCTGATGTCGTCTCTTCTGCATCCGATGCTGATGTGACTGCCTCGTCAGCGCTCTCTTGGCCCCCGTCATGATCCACGAGCCTAGAGTAGTGCTCGCTCAGCACGCCCTGATTGCGCCGCTCGAACATGCGATCGTACTTTGTGCGCACTTTGGATGGCGCTCCGTCTTCATCGCGCGCTTGTTGCTGCTCTTGCTTCTGCAGCAACTTGGCAGCCTTCTTTTTGGCAGCTTGAGCCTCCTTTACGAACTTGACCTTTGGCGCGCCAGGCAAACCGAGAGCTGCTGCGTACTTGTCCAACGGCAACTTGGTGACGTCAAACACGCTCTTGTCCTTTTGCAGATGGACGGATCTGACATACGAAACAAAGGCCTTTTGGCCCAGGTGCTTGAGTTCAGGATCTTGGAAAAGGAAGCCTTGCAGCTGATTCGAAATGGATTGCGTCTTACTATCCCGCGCCTTGATCTTTTCGGGCTTGATCGACTTTACCTCCAGAGCCTTCAGAGCACCCGACTCTTCATCCGGCGTCAAGAAGAGCAGCGCATACCCTTTGCTATGATATCGTGCCGTTCTGCCGACTCGATGCACGTAGGTATCTGCATCTTCGGGCGCATCTGTTTGCACGACCCAATCCACCGCTGGAAAGTCTAGCCCTCTTGCCGCAATGTCCGTGGCGAACAAGACGGCATTTTGAGCTTTGCTAAACTCTTTGAAGATGCTGAGTCGAGTCGTTTGCTTTTGTTTGCCGTGCAAGCACATGATGCTCGTGCCCGGTCTGAGCTTGCAAAAGACTTGATGCGCGAACTGAACCTGCCTGCAAGAGCTGAAAAAGACGAGCATTTTGCACTTGAGGTGCGTGCGGACAAAGGAGAAGAGCATGTCCATCTTGCGCTCCAGCGGCACGACCATGTAGTGCTGCGAGAGCGATGAGGGCGTCTCTGTCGATGCGTCGCCTTGCTCTTGACCTGCCGCTGCGTCACGCACAGCGACGTACTCTGGCGACCGCAGAGATAATCTGGCGAGATCTTTGACGCGCTTTGTCTGAGTGGCGCTGAAGAGCAGCGTTTGCCTCGACTTGGGCACATTGGCGACGATGGCATCGATGGTGTTTTGAAAGCCCATATCTAGAATGCGATCGGCTTCGTCCAGCACCAACACTTGCACATTGCTGGTATCGAAGCCGAGCGTCTGATCCATGTGCTGCAGCAATCGTCCCGGCGTAGCGATCAGAATGTTCATCTTGCTCAGCCGAGCCTTTTCCACTTCGACGTCCTTGCCGCCAATGACGAGACCGGCAGAGAAGGTATGAGCTGATCCGATGGAGCGCAACACTTCAAAGATCTGCATGGCCAGCTCGCGCGTAGGAGAAATGACCAGCCCACCGAGTCCGTCGGAAGGGCCCCAGCGCAAGCGATGCAGTCGTTCGAGGATGGGAATGAGAAAGGACAACGTCTTGCCCGATCCCGTCCGCGCTGCTCCAAGCACATCTCGTCCGGACAGTGCGAGCGGCAGAGCGGATCGCTGAATAGGAGTCATCTCCGTAAAGGCGGCACGCTTCAATCCTGCCGTGGGGAGCGGGAGGGTGCATGTATGCGAGGGTGAGTATGCAGGATGGCTTCCTCGAGGCGTGTTAAGCACACGCACCTTTGAGCGTCTTGGATGAGAGCGGCATCTCGTCGAATCTCGTCAGCTCCTTCTTGCCATTCACCACGTCATCCAGTCGCCTCTCCAATTCTAGCAGCTCCTCATCGTCGTTGGAGCGCTTGACCTGCCTGGCGCCTCTGGAACGTGAAGCGTGGTTCAGAGCTTGCTTCTTGCGAGCTGCTGAGGGGCCCGCAGCCGCTTGGGAGAGGGACTCTTGAGGAGCGACATTTCGCTTTCGCTTACCAGTGTCAGGCATCGCGGCAAGCTGCTGCTGTCGCGCTGGGTCATCGGCGGAGCAAGTCGACTCGTGAACAACGTGGTGGCGGTGGTGGTGGTGGTGGTGCAGCCAAAGCAGGCTCGCTCCCACGCATGCACGCCTGCGTTTGCTTCGCATCTCACCAAAATTTTCGTCGCGTGCAGCGCTCGCGCGCTGTGCGCACGCGCGCGCCACTACCAACTCCACGGACGTCCGGCGCGCGGCGCCCACTTGTTCATTCAATGCGCAGGCAAAAGGCACGCCAGGGAAGGACTTTCAGAGGGTGCGGTAGCGGAGTGGATCATTCTTAAGATTGCAGCATTACTATTACAGGTGTGGTTTCGATAAAGTCGCAAGTGACCTCTCTGAGCGATTGTGGCCACGGGCAAGTCATTCACGCCATTGCCGCTTCAACGGCTCCAGGGCGAGGGCCGATGGACTCCAAGGCTTCTTTGCTGCCCGGCTCAAGCGGTTGCACATGCTGGCCCAAAAACAGCTGAGTATCCAATGCCGGTGCAGTGATGTGGTAGTCGCTGATGGACAAATTCGCTCTGACTGCCATCGACACCAATTTTTCCACGCGCTGCTTCAACGTCGTCGAGCGCGAAGTGACCGTCTAAAAATGATGAAGGAGTGTGAGCAGACCAGCGCGCGGTGAAGCCGAAGATGGCTCTCGCGCCTCTCACCAAGGTGTCAATCTCTACGACTGCTCGGTCATTATCCACTCGCACCATCAGAGCTGCCCTGCGCGGACCTCGTAGGTCATCGATGGGATCCTTCTGCATGGCGCGCGGAGCAGTGGGAGGTGGGGCCGCCGCGTCACCATTCGCTTGTGCAACGTTCGTTGCCTCAGCATCTGCCCCTTTCTCTTCCGTCATCGGTACATCAGGATCCGTCTTGATTTCCTGCACCTCCTCTTTGACGACTGGCTCGGCACTCGCTTGATCAACTTCCATCTTCTCATCCTCGTCGCCGCCCACAAACGTCTCCTCCACATCCCCAAAGTACCCATCCAGGTAGCTGGCGACCTCTTCCGTCCGCTCTAGCAGCAGCACTTCCTCCGCGGACTCTGCATGAGATTTTTCGTCGTGGGAATGCGAGTGCGGATGCGTGGTCAAGCGCACACTTGCGGGGCTCGAATCGACACCCAAGAGCAAAGCCACAGCCGAATCAGCGACCATGTCGTTCGAAGCGCTGCCTTTCCATTCAAGGACGATCTCGCCAGGTCGATTGTCTTGCTTGATATCAACTGCGCCCATGACGCGCAGCGTGCGTTTGCCCTCGAGGTCTTGACCTTCTTGCAGCTGGCCGTACATGCCTTCTAGGTGCCATCGGATGAGATCCCATCCCACGGCGAGGTTCAGGCGAGCACGCTGGGTGATGCATGAGGTGTGCAGACCTGTAAAATCTGCCAAATCTGCTGGATCGAGCAGTGTGTATGCGTAATCTTTCGCAACCAGCAAACCAGACAATTGTGTATTGTTCTTTGGCTGTTCTGCCGCTATCCGACCGATTGCCTGGATGACGACAAGAGTCAGAGGCTGTTAGGGAAGCGCGCTCGATCCCCGCTCACCTTTGCCATCCTTTCGCCCCGGAACCTCAGGCGCAGGGGCTCGCAGTTGCGTGGCGTATGGATTTTGACATCCTCTGAGCGCTCCGCAAACTTGCTTTGCAGCGCTGCTCTTAGCCTCGACATGTTGTTCTGCTCGCCGTGTACCAGCACCTGTGGGGATGGCGCGTCAGCAATGGGACATGCTCACGAATCATCGTCAGACGCACTATATGCTTTGCCTTGACTTCGTCGATGAAGCGAGAATTTTGCGTAAAGTCGACATGAGCAGAAAAGGATATCTCTTCTACCGACATGCGCAGTGGGATCTTTTGACCTGCCATGGAAACGATCTCGTCGGGATCCAGGAGGATGTTCTGTCGAGAGCGCGAGCGTCGTGAGCGTGCGCTTGTGTGCAGCGCGCGTTGCCACTCACCCTGGCCATTGTGCCCTCCACGCTGTATCCCGTCACGATGAGGCCGTTCCTGCGATCGGGTGCCCACCGCTCCAGCAGCTCGCGACTGACACCGCTTTGCATAAAGCCTGGACTGGCCATCATGACACACGGTCCCTTGTCTTCGAATCGATCCAGTCCTCTGAGGTTGGACACGTGCTTGAACACGAATGGATTGTCTCTGCGATTGAAGCGAGATCGAATGTGCTCGTTCATGGTGTGGATGTACGTCTGGTAAATGCTGATGCATTTGCGAGCAAGACTACTGGCGTAGTAGATTGGGATGGAGTGAAGCGATGGATTGGCTGCCCAATACTCGTCCAATAGCAGCAGCAATTCTTGCGCTCGACCCAGCACAAATACTGGCAGCAGTACGCGGCCTCCGCGAGACAGAATGTTGTGTACCATGGCTGTGTGCGAGAACATGGCCAGATAAGCGTGACGCCTGCGTGACAGTCCGAGAGGCATCACCGGCACTCACTGGTAAAGCGACGTTCCTTGTCCAGCCGCGGTTCCAAACTTTGCACGCCGTAGGTACTCTCGGAGATGAGCACATCCGGTCTCTGTGATGGCACTTCAGCTTGGACGAGATGTCGATCCTCTTCTCGACTAAAGTCGCCCGTGTACAGAATCTTTAGTCCAGCGATATCGATCAGGAACATGGCAGCACCAAGCACGTGTCCCGCGTGGTAGGAGGTGAAGCTGAGACCACCTGCGATTGGCACCTCTTGATGATAGTCTACAGCTTCGATGGACCTCCAAGATGCCAGCATTTCGCTCTCGGAAAAGAGATCGTCTGCATTGCCAGCATTGCTGTGGGGCCAGAAGCGAGTGCATGTTTAGCAGCGATCTCTGCCTCGTCACAAGCATGCGACGCACTCACGATATTCGAACAAAGTCGGACATCAGGAAGCGATAGACGGCCTGATCAGTCGCGAATGCAGAGCGTCAGCGTATGGTCAGGGTTAGGTCCTCGAATAGCCTCCCGCGCACCTTTGTTGGATGCGTCATGTACACTTTTGCGTTTCCCTCTCTAAAATTCGTCTTTTCCATGATGTACGTGAGCGCTGCGGCGTGATCCAGGTGGAAGCTGCGGATTAGTGGCCGTGGTCAGTCATCGCTAAGCGGCGCAGACGGCGTGTGGAAGAGAACACAGCGGGTCGCTACTCACTGGGTGATGAGCAGCGCATCGACGGTGCTCCAATCCAACCCGTCGATGAATGGCAGCGCTGCGATGCCCTGAAATGCTGGATGAACACCTGCGTCGCACACCACCGTCTTGCCTGCGAGCGGAGCAGATGAGAAGGAGGAGGAGTCGTGTCAATTGCGAGAGGCAGAGGCACGACAGGGAGCAGGCGAGCCAGTGGCAAAGCGCAGGTCGAAGGCGTAGCCACGCGAGAGATGACCACCCTAGGGCCATACGCCTACACCCGTCCACCCCTCCCCAACGCTCAAAGAAGCGCATACATGCCCTCGCCTATGCACGTGCCATCACCCCGTGCTCACCTCTGTAGCGCATCACGCAGCAGCTCCTTCCCACCTCCTGGCCCGCACCCAGCATCTCGATGTACAGCTCATCGGAGCCATCGTCCGCTTCCACGCCGTCGCCGTTCGCTGGCCTGCTGAGCACCTGGACGGACATTTCACGCTTTCGATTGCGGAGCGAAGCGATTGATTGTGGAGGGGATCGTCTCTACCACGCGTGCGACAGTGACGTCTTCAAAGGAAAGCCGGTCCCAGTCCGGTTGCAATGTGTCCGAGATCAATGTCGTCCGCGTCCCCAAGACTTTTGGTCCGGCGGAGTGTTGCGGCGCAGGTAAAGGGAACAGAGGACCGGGCTCCGCACTTGATGCGTGTAAAAGCAGTCAGAGAGCTGGCTCACGAGTGTCACGAGTGATGGTGGGAGTACACGCTGATTGCTAGCAGTGCCGGGGATTTTGGCGTGTCTGCATGGACTTTGGACTTTGTGCGCGGGCGCGGGCGCGAGCGCTTCATTCATCTTGAATTCGATTCGTGATCCGTGATATTCACGATACGTGATTGAAATCACGGTGAATCATGCACCGACGGCTAGCATCTCACGTGACGCGTGGTGTGAGAAACTTTTTGTGCTCGTGACTTTTGGCTGAAGTGCGCGTATAGCGCATGCATGCAGGGATTGATTGCAGGCATGGCGTCCGAAACCACGGCACCTCGACTCCCCATTTAAATTTGATCTTGGCATTCTGCGGCTCGACTCGTGACTCTCGACTTACGCCTCTCATCGATACCACGTCGCCCTTGCTCGCCCGCTCACGCACTCACGACTCCATGTGAGAGGCGAAATTCAGACCTTGCTCTGCAGGGATGACCTTCACCAGCGCAAGCAGAGATCGGCAGACAAACCTACCCACCCTCCTCCTCGTGGCGGCCCAGCGAGGGGCTGCTGACTGTGCGCGACAGGTCAGATCAACTCTTGCTTCATCTGCCCATTCAATTCATGCACATAGGCCACGTCCCCTCCTTCGATTATGTGTTGAAGCAGTGTCACAGCGCTTACGAGGGAGAAGGCGTGCTGAAATCGACAGAGGGTGACGTGATCCACGCTGACCAGGCAGTCACCGCAGCGCGTGTGGTCATCTTTGACACTGGCAGTGAGTCTTGGCGCTGAGTGTCGGGAGATGGGCAAGGTCACAGGCACGTTGACGTGGACCACGTCTCACATGACGCTCGTTGCCTCGCTCTCGGTCTCGCCTGCCCCTTGCCTCTTCCTCAATGCAGCCACACAGCCGTGCAAGCCGCGCAGAGGGCCTCGCTTCAAGTTGAGATACCGTGCGCCTGTTTGGCCCGGTGAGCGGGGCTAACGGGTAATATGGAATAAGCGGAGTTTGGTCACGTGTTTAGTCAGTTGTAGATTACTACGATAAGAGATCTTTGCATAGGTGATGTATTTGACTGAGAGATGCTATCTCAACATGGGGTATTTAGGGTTAGGGTTAGGGTTAGGGTTAGGGTTAGGGTTAGGGTTAGGGTTAGGGTTAGGGTTAGGGTTAGGGTTAGGGTTAGGGTTAGGGTTAGG